GTTCTATATTTCATCTCATTTTGATATACGTGACTGAAAGAACAACTATTATAAAGATAACAAAATATACTGTGATACCTATTACTGTTATCCCGGTAACCTGCTGTGATGTTCTGTACCAATTTCACTGTACGATTTTAGTTGGCTTTATTCTGACTTGTTCTGTTGTATACTTTCAAAATAAAAAAATAAAAAAATAGGGAATTAAAAAAAAAAGAACTAATTGTCAACTTAATGCCAGCTGAATTAAATCAGCATGCTGAGTATAGATGTTCCACCTGAGGAAAGTTGCCAGCATAAACAGAAATGTAGAGAAGGAGAACAGAGGCATTGAGGGGTCTCCTGTGTGTTGCTGTTTAAGCTGTTGATTCTTCTGGAGGAAGTCATCATGACTAGCTTCCCCAGTGTGAGTTTGACCATTATCATCAGAGGAGCTAGGGACCTTTCGGTGACAGTGGCTGTGGTTCACTTTGGGGAACCTCTGTTCCTTACATCAAACATTGCTTCCTGGCTCCAGATGGTAAGATTTATGCCATTTAGTCCCCAGGACAAACCCATCACACTGGCTTCCTGGCACATACTTGACTGTGCTTATCATTGGAGGAGCTTGGGGCCTCTGTGTCACTGAGGATGGCTGTGGTGTTTTTCAGGACAGCTCTGGTCTTTATTATGAGCGTGTCTTCTTGGCTCCAGCATAGAACCCTCAAGCTATCAGCACAGCTTCTTTACCCCGCTGGCACAGATTTTCTAGCTTCCATCACTGACCTTTGGGCCTTCCCAGCACGAATCCATAAGAGACTGGTGTGAGTCCTTTTTGTGGGCTCTAGACCTCTAGTTAAGACTCGTGGGAAGCATTGTCATGGGCTCTAGGTTTTCATCCGGACTCATGCAGGACATTGCTATGGGATCCAGGCCTTGGCTGAATATTTCTGGTCTTCATAGATTTCCTGTGCTTTCTTTTGTTAAACTCTAGGTGACCATCATAAATAATATAAATTCTATGTTCTGATTCTAACTGTTCTCTTCACAACCCCAGACTACAATATCTTCCTAGAGAAAGAAACTGAAAAATTATATATGTTCCAAAATATACAATAAATGTTGTAAAGATAAAAAAACTTCAAAGAGAAAAATAATTGGAATAAGGGAAAGGAGGAAAGGAAAAAGACATAGATTATCATATATATATATATATACTAAAAGGACTATACTACTAACTGTTTTAATTATTGGAAAAGAACAGTTAATACTCATATGTTTAGATTCATTTTACATTCTATATCTGATAATCTAAGCAATCCTCTTGAAGGTAACAATATGCAATATTACAACCATTGTCAAATTTCTACCATCTTGTTTTGTAAACCTATACTGTTATTGTATTTGGTTTCTTCTTGTTGTCTGTCTGTATTGCTTTTGTTTTTGTCTTTTTAATCTTAAATAAAACAATAAAATTTTTTCTTGAGACGGTTTCACTATGTAGTCCAAGTAGCCTCAAACTAATAGTGATCATCCTGCCTTAGCCTTCTAGTTGCCTTTAGAATATTTGAATATTTTGATTTCATATTAACTCAATTCACTAGCTATTTTAGTCATTAATTTATAAATTTCAGTGTATTAGAGCAATATGACAAAGCATTAAGAACCTGATAATATACTTGCATTTTCCCCTCTTGATCTTTGTACTTTTGTTAGATTTTATATTCAGAGTATATAGATTCCAACTATATTTTTATTTAAACATATTTTTTAAAGAAATTTACACAAATTATTCATTCTTTCCTGTTTTTTTGTTTTTTTTTTTTTGGTCTTTTTCCTTTTTATCGGTACTGGGGATCAAACTCAAAACTGCCTGCTTGCAAGGCAGGCACTTATGCCGAGCTAAACCTTCAGCCCCTACATAAATTATTTTTAAAATTTGTCTTTTTCATTTTTATCGGTACCAGGGATTAAACTCACGACCACACACTTGCAAGGCAGGCGCTTATGCTGCTGAGCTAAATCCCCAGCCCCAGAAGTTTTTATATACCCATGTAATTTTCACTTCTAATAGTTTTCATACATGTATGTAAATCTAATTTCCATTTGGAATTATTAACTTTCTGCCTAAAGGACTTAACCAGGCCTAAGTATAAACTATGAACTTCGTACAGTATTTGTGTGTCTCCCTCAACTCCATTCTTTCAGATTTTGGCATGTATATTCTGGGTTGATAATTTTCTGTCAGTATTTTAAAGGTATTGTTCTGGTGACATCTTCTCCCTTGTACTCCTCTCCTTTCCTCCTCCTCTTTTGTATTAGAGATTGAATCCAGTGCTGTGTGTATAGCAGGTAAGTGCTGTATCCCTAAGCTACAAATCCAGTCTCTCCATGCACTTCTGCTGACCAGAAATCTACTATCACTTTTCTCCTTTTTCTCTATGTATAGTATCTTTCTTCTCTGGCTAGTTTTAAAAATTTTCTCTAAGAGTTTTATTTTCTAGACAGGCTCTCACGATGTACCTCTGACTGGCCTTAAACTAATAATGATCAGTCTTAGCTTCCTCAGTGTGGAATTATAGGTATGTACCACCATGTCAGACTTTGTATCACTGGTTTTGAAAAATTTTTGTCTGGTATTCCTTGATATCATTTTCTTCATTTTTCTTGTGCCTCGAATTCGTTGAGTTCTTGGATACATGGGTTTTTCATTTTCATAAAATGTAGAAAACTTGTAACTATTACTTTTTCCATTTTCTATCTTTCCTTCACAAGTTACTACTAATATTAGTCAAATTCTTTCCCAATTTATTGTCACTCTTGATTTTTAAAATTCTGAGCCTCATTTTGGAGTTTCTATTATCTGTGTTCAAATTCAGCAGTTTTTCTGCACTGTATGATATGCTCATTTATCCAATATAGTAAACATCTTTCTAGTATCGTGTTTATCTATCTATTTATTTATTTAGAGACGGAGTCTCACTTGCTAGCTCAGGTTAGCCTTCACCTTCTTGCAGCCATCTTCTTGCTTTAGTCTCTCAAGTGCTGGGATTTCAGTACCACCATGCCTGGATTGTGTTTACTTGTAGTATACTTCTTAATTTCTAGAATCTCAACTTGAATCTATTTAAAAATATCATTCATATCTGTACGTCAAATTTGAAATATAGTTAGAACTGTTTTAATGTCATTTTTCTATGAATGCAGACTTTTGAGTCAGTTTTATCTCACTGGTAGTATTTTACTGCCTCTTTGCAAGCTTAGTAACCTTTTTGTTGGATGGCACACACAGAATTTTATGATGTTGGTGCTGATATACCCTGAGCCATACTTTATATATATTTCTGTATGCCTTATATGTTTTAAGACTGTTTGGGGTTGTTACATTAATTGAAACAATCTGACCTTTACAGATATTACTTAAAAAATATATGAGGGGCAGATGGGAGCAATTAGTACTCAGCTGAATTCACAAAAGTGGATTCTGAGAGTCCTCTAAGTGCAGCACTGTTTTCTCGATTATTATGCCCTGTGAATTATATCACCTTGGCTTCCCAGGATGCTTAGCTTTACCTCCCCATCAACAGGAGTCTGCATGAAATCTCCCTTTCTATTCCATGGCTTGGACGTTTCCTCAAAATGTAATCCAGTGACAATCATAGGTCTTTATCTCTTTTTTCTTACTGTACCTCAGTATCACTGACTTTAGTGTTTGAAATTCGGTATTTTAAAAGTAATTATTGGGCCAGGGGTTTAGCCAGTGAAGTAAACACCAACTGGTAAGCATGAGGTTAGGAGTTCAATCCCCAGTACCAAAAAAAAAAAAGTAAAATTAATTGTTTCATCCAGGTATGGTGGTGCAAGCCTACTATCCCAGCAGTCAGAAGACAAAGGCAGTTGAATTGCTGTATCTAAAATTGTTCTCCTAAAAAAAAAAGAAACTTAAAATAAGATTTCTCAAAAATAAAACGGTTTTTATTCATACTCATTGTTCTCTAAAATAAGTTTTCTCAATTTAGAATAAGCTCAAGCCCTCGGATATAATAACCATACAATTTTATTTATTTATGGTACTGGGGATTGAACTCACGATCTTGCACTTGCCAGGCAGGGTCTGTGCTGCTGAGCTATATCCCCTGCCGCTGAACCATACAATTTTAAAGACTACAAATTTTAGCCAGGCATAGTGGCACATGCCTGTAATCTCAGCACTCGGGAGGCTGAAGCAGGAGGATCACTGTGAATTCGAGACCAGCCTGGGCTACAAAGTGAGCTCAGGGCCAAGAACTACATAGTGAGACCCTGTCTCAAAAAAAAAGACTAAATACCGTAAATTTTAATCTTGACGTTTGTTGCATGCATGACTGCATGGCCCTACAAAAGAAGATCGTATTCTCTTAAACATATGCATAATCTGATGTAACTCAATCTCTTGAGTTTATAAATTCTATAAAAAATTCATAGGTAAAGGTATTTTAAACCTTTTATGAAGGCTGTTATTTAAAAGAAGAGAATATGTAAAGACCTTAGTTGATTCCTGTCCAATTTATATTACTTTTGTTTATAAAGGCATCTAATGTCTGTTCATTAATATAATTTTAAATCATTAATATTCTTGATGAAATGAAAATGCAATTTTAAGTTTTACTTTTTCATAAGGCTAAGTATTAAAACAACAGAACTTTTTTTCCCTGGAGACAGGATCTTACTCTGTAGTCCAGGCTGGTCTTGAGTTCACAGCAATCTTGTGTTTTTTTGAAGAATATATTTAAAGAAAACATTTCAAAATGCATCCCAGTGAATGAAAAACCTTTCCCAATAGATCTGGCTTATTGTCAATCTTCATGTGAAAACACTTCCCATCTTAAAGGCTTCCTTTAGAAGTAATAATAATATATTTGTTATTAGTAAATTACACATTTTCCATATTTGGAAATAAAGGTGTATTAATACTAAAAAAGCTGTGTACCTTTTATGAGAATTTCAATAAACTCAGAATTTCATAAAATAAACCACACAACTTAAAACACCAGTCTTTTATTTTCTACCCTCTATGTGTTACTTTAAACAATCTAGATATATACAAAATTTGGAATGTTGGACAGATGCTGATAGAAATATTACACAGCTGCTAATGTGATGTTTTAAAGTACAGCAAGTTCTGTTTGTGTTCAAAAGAACTTTTCAAGTATATATACATATTTAATATCAGTCCAAAGAGATCAGAAAAATATTTACAAGATAAATATATAATTTATAAGACTACTGATTCAGATGAACTGATGATTCCTTAATAAATCAACATAAAACTAGTCTGTGTTACTAATTCAATACTGAATAAATTGCTTTGATCAATGCTACTTTCACTGGTATAAAATTTTACTGCTTAGGGTAAGAAATTTTTAAGAACTTAAAAGAAGGCAGTTCTGGTTTTGAAAATTTGCAATATCATACTTGCTGAAGTCAGTAAAGAGCACAGGCCTTAACTACAATTTACTCAATAGAACAGTTTGCAGTTAGGCACAGGGGGAAAAAACCCTAAACAGTCCTCCATTTCCTCAAAAGATTTAAATTAGTGTACCAAATTTTGAAAGTTGGTTACTACCATTAACAGATATATACAAGTTTATATTTTTTTAGTTTTCCAATATTTTGGAAAAAACTTTGGCTATGAAGTACAAAACCTTTTTTTCTTTTTTCATATTGTATCATGTACTATTCTTCTTGGTAATAAACTTTCTTAATTCTACCTGTTACAGAATGTTACAAAATTTTAAAATTAACTAGAAAGAAATGAAATGCCAGTACTTGTTACATGTGTAATGTTTCAATATAGTATGCAGATAATGAATTTAAAAGTAGATCACTAAAGAATCAATTATTTGTAAGGCTTACTTCCTATTCCAAAATTATAATTTTGGAACTATTTTATAAATTTCTAATAAGAAGTGGAATGAAAATTTGAAATTAAGGATGTGACCATTTTACAAAGCCAAAATTTTAAAACCAACAGAATAAAGGGAACACCAAGATTTGTCTTAAAGAAACTGTCATTCTTTAAGAGGTTACAACACATATACAAGTGAATTATCAAAATACAGCACATTTCTTCTATTATATCCATAAAAATCAATTCCTATGTAAATAGTACTGAATATCAACTAAAATGCACTAAAATTTACAAAGAGTTGTTAAAGGGTTTCAATCAAAATTATTAAAACTATACAGTACAATACCCAATTGATACCATCTTGAAAGATGTGCAATATTTAAATTAACATATTTTTAAAAAGTGCTATTTACTCTGACTAGAAAGTGAGTCCTATCCACTTTTTCAGAAATAGTATAGATTGGTACTTTAGCTAGTCTTATAAAAGTCTTAAAAGAAAAGTGGTAACATTAAAATTTTCCTACGTATATTTCTTAGAAATTAAAAATGAATGAAAGAACTGAGTATGGCTCTAAAAAATGTTTTAGACTAGCCTCAACTAAAAAGTTACTTGTCCTCTATGGCATGTTTTTCTGGTCCAAATAACCATGCATTAATTCTTACCATTGCATGTTACTCAAATTTTATTTGATTACATACAACAAAAACAAAATCAAGAAACAAAATTAATAAACTTATACCATCAAACACTTGTAACTTACAGTAACTAGAACAAAGGCAGTTGGTGGCAAAACACTATTACACAGATACATTTAGAAACCCTTTAAAGACTCTAAAGCATCAAGTTCACATTTAGTTACTAACAGGAACAGCCCTTTATTTGAACACTTCCACACTGGTAGGCCTCAAGAACCCATCCCTTTGTTCTACAACTCTCCACAGCAATTTTTTATCACTGTGCCAATTTCACAGACTTGCTTTGGTTTCCTAGCTCCACACCTACTTCATGTTTCCTTTTACTTTACCAAGGCGATTCACAGTCAAACAAAAATTAAGAGGCTTTCCTGAACCTTCTTACATGTTGTGTTTATAGGCAGCACAATCTTAAAACTGGCCATTTTAGTTCCATTTGCTGTTTAAAACAAAGCAGTAATTAGATTAAAACAGAGCACTAGCTATAACGATTGCGAGGATCACCATTTAAAAAAAAAAAAGGGATTTCCATAGCATGAGGAATGCATGGACATGCACTTACAGTAGAGTTAAAAATTTCCTGTGACTAAAAAATTAAAAATTGAATCGTCAGTAGCAAATGTATAATCAATGGCTGTGACAACAGACCTTACAGAGCTCATAAAATGCAATTATTGTCTTTTTATTTCTTTAAAAGACATTACATATTTTATTGCATTATTCTATTAATAAAAACAATAATAGCTTTTCTTGTCATTTTTGCTTCCAGATTTTTGTAAGAAAAACTGTTTTAATCTGGCCTTGGAAAGTGAACCCACCAGCACCACCTTCACCTACTCATTCTTCAATTCAGTATGCACATAGCAAAAGCCAACACTTCAAATATCTTGCCCACATAACAAAAAAGTAGTTTCAGCAAAAAACATTAACAAAAGTTGAATAAAAATAAGGGCATAAAAGCTGTGAGACAGATAGCTCTGCCATCTGTCTCTGGGCTACAATCAAGGCTAACTATTGCCTTGCACAGTTCATTCATGTGTATGAAATCCAAAAATAAACCTACAATCTATACAAAACAACGTAAGTTTGTTTTTGTAGCCTTCATCGCTATGTTTAAAAACCTAACAAGTTTTACATGGTATGAATTCAACAGTCTCCTTTTTCTTCTGTACAGTGGTTCTTTCCCTCTAATTGTAAGCTTCATTTCATTAATGTACAAATTTGAACAGAATTGAGTTCTTCTTTACATATAAAAATAGTCAAAATATTAATTTCCCCTGCAAGTATCTTCCAATAAATCTTGCTGTCCTCCCCCTACCCCCTTTCTTTGTCCACAGTGTTTATGAAGATATTTCTCGTACAATGATGAGTTCTACTGTATTCTGGAAAGTTTTTAGCAAGGACACTGCTTGTCCATGTTCAATATTGATAAAACTGTAGCCATTAGCCTAAAAGAAAGAAGAAAAATGTTTTTAGGAAGTATTTTTCATAGTAATTTATTTGCATTTCTGTATTGAAATTTCTGCCAGGTAGTTCACAAAGCTGGCAGAAAAGAAGAATCATTTTGGCAATTTAAAACAACATATAGACTAATGAGCCCTATTCTATATCTGTGGAAATAAAACTTCAAGACAGAGACCAGAAACCCGTATTTTGTTTAGATTGTCACACTATCCTGATGTAGCAGTCCAATGTTAGGAAGCACAAGTCTAAGACAGCATCAGACAGGGTGCTGTGTATGTGTGCTGATGTGCATCCTAGGGAACAAACTGGCAGAGAGGCCTAAGCCTAGTCTTATTATCTTCAAGATCCTTGGATTTTTAAAAATTAAGGATAACACTCATTGAGCTCTTACTTGTACCAGACACATAGTTTGAAATGCGTTAGTATGAATTAAATAGATTACCACAATGTTCAGGAGATTTTTTTCATCTTATTTCAGAGAAAACCCAGGAATGAACAGGCAACTTCTTCAATCACCCAATCAAAACCACAAATCTGCAAGTATGGTGGTGCATGCCTGTAATCTCAAACTCCACAGGCTGAAAGAGGAAGATTGCTACAAGTTCCCGGTAACCTGGGCTACATACTGAGTGCAAGGCCAGACTGAACTAATAATGAGATGCTGTCTCAAAAAACCAAACTAAAACACTCACAATCCAGACTGCCAAGAAAATAAATATGCATGAATGAGTGTACATATGTATAAAGAGGGAGGAAAGGAGAGAAAGATGATAAACACTAAAGACAATGTGACAACATATTAGCACTTGGTGACCACATGAGGTGTGCATAGATGTTACACTATTTTATTTGCAGGGTTTTATTTTGGTGGTACTAGGAATTCAACACAGAGCCTTGACACTGAGCTACTTATCACGAAGTTGCTAGTCACTAGGTTGCCCAGGTTGGGCTTGAATTTGTGATCCGCCTGTCTCGGCTTTACAGAGTGGTAGGATTGCAAGCATGTGCCACCATGCACAGCCATTTTTGCAGATATTCCAAATTACAATTAAAAATTAACAAAAAAAAACATTTACAATATATTTTAGAAAGCATTGGACCCCAGACTCAAATTCAGGCAGTCTGGTTCCATAATCTGTACTTTCAGTCATTTAACTCTAGAGGTCTATATTATTATTTTGGTCTCAGGGTTACTTCTTTCTCTTTGCTATCTGAATTGACAACAGTGAAGGCAGTTGTAAAGGAAGAGAAGCTATATCTGAGCCTGAGGCTTATTTTCATACTATACTGTATGCAGTTAGGCAAAACTGGAGGAACAGAGAAACAGACATAGGAAAATAAAAAGGTCTCCTTAAATTCTGAAAATTCCCTCTATTTTTCTATGATGACAACCTATCGCCAACAAGTGGTCTTCTGACCCTAAAAATTAGTAAAAATAAACATTCCTGAACTTAAAAAGCTGTATGAAACATATAAGCATGATTCTGAAGGTATAAAGTAGAAATATCCTAAACTATAAAACCGTAAGAGTGGAAAGAAAATAATTTAAAAATTTATCTTAATTACCTGAATAATTTTATCACCAGGTTGCAGTAATTTTGATGCTGGTCCATCAGGTTGTACCCTTGTTACAAATATACCCTTTAACAACAACAACAACAAAAGATAATTATTTAACACAAAACAGTATGCGCAAGTAATACAGTAATAATAAGCAATCTTCCATATCACCCAAACATCTGAATCATGGTACAGTTTTCTCCCTGACTTTGCAACTCCGTGACAACCCAGTTACTTTTCCCTCTAGTAATTCTGGTTTTCATGCAATGATTTCTACTACAGAGATAAATTTACTTGGATAGATTTGTGGAAAAGCAGTAAGAAAAATTTAAAAATCACTTGATAGTAAAAAGAATATTTAAAAATTTTGGTTAATTGCTTTCCTCAACATGGAGAGATTAAATTTCAAAACAAGCTAAACAATACAAAAGGAAATAAAAACACATCTTAGATTTACCTAAATACCTATTATATTTTCACTTGCATACTGAATTAATAAATGAAATTAAGTAATTCAGGTACTGAATTGTGAGTGATCAAGCATATATAAACAAAACTTACGTCATCTTCAGGTCTGAATGGATTTCCTCTACCTCCAACACCTCCTGATATGCTAAATCCAAGTTCTGGATCCTTTTCAATCCTTACTCGAATCTGATTTAATATAAAAATAAAGGATACTTATTTTTATTTCAGAAAAGGTAACAACATAACATCCACATTTAAATACTGGTGAAGTTCAAACAAAAATATTTAAGGAGTCATCAATAAGCATCTGTGCAGGTGAACTGAAACTATAACATAGAACATTATGTTAATGAGTTAGTGAGTTAAAGGCAAAGTGGGATTATATAGCATAGCGCCAAACTTTATTGCTTATGGAAATATGAAACAATTAACACTAGCCATATTTTAGTTTTCTGACAGAATAAATTTTTATGACAGTGAATAAGTATAAAATAAGTATTATCATCAGTTTTCAGTTGTGGAGCATCTAAATTACAGAGTATGCCTGTCTGTCTACTGGTTTGTTTCATAAGATATTTTAATAATTCTTTGGTTGTATTAAATTTCTAATTTCCTGAATCTGTTCATATGCCTCAAAGGAATTCAACTTTAAAATCTGATCAACTGATAGTAATTTCTATAACCTAGTTATTAAACAAAAATGCAAGTGCTAAATTTTTGTTGCAGAATATTCTCTTTTACTGGATATTCAACGAAAATGAATAAAGTATCATTTTATCAATAAACTATGAAGATTTATGAATGCATGACCCAAAACATTTTAAGAGAAAATATTCAAAAGTAGTTGGGTATGGTGGCACATGTCTGTAATCTCAGCAGTCAGAAGGCTGAGGTAGGAGGATCTCTCCAAATTCCATGTCAGCCTGGGCTACATAGTAAATTCAAGGCCAGTCTAAATGACACAGTGAGACCTTGTCTCAAAATAAATGTAAACAGGCTGGGGGTTTAGCTCAGCAGTGTAAGTGCCTGCTTGGCAAACACGAGGTCATGAGTGCCATCCCTGGCACCAAAAACAAACAAACTGTATATAAATAAATAAATAAATTCTTAAAGTAGTTTGGAGACTAATTATAGCCAACTTTTAAAACCAAAAGCTTTAAGTATCACATAACAGTAAGTCATTTCACCTTAATTCCTGTAAAGCAACTTGCCTTACAGTGAAAAAAAATTGCCCAAAATACTAAATACTATGTCAGATGATCTTAAATTAAAACTATACCATGTGATACTCTGTAAACTTCACAGAAAATTATAATTTTAAACAAGATGTTAAGAAACTATGTTAAAATTATATATGGATTTATTGCTAATAATTAACCTGTAGGAATACATGACAAGCTTAGTCTCATTTTTAAACAGTTTTGATTATTCTTACCTCTTGCTTTGCCAGTTCATGGCCTGGTCTAGCAGAACAATGGGGCTGTGTATATGGAGGCTGGTGGGCCACTTTCAGCATCAAGTAATCAATTAGTTGTTCTCTAGAGGGATGCCTTGCCACAGATGCCTGAGGGGGGTGATGTATTTGACTACAATTTGCCTGAGGCCTGAGAGGCTGGCTCATCTGTCCATTACTCAAAGGCATCTAAGAAAAACATGAAGTATCTTAAAATAACCAATAATAATGTTTTATTACAAATATCTGGATATTCTTATTGGAGCATTACCAAAAAACCCTAGTTTTAATATTCTAAATCACAAAATACCATGTCACTCACTATTTTCCTCTAATGCTAATGCCTCCAAGAAAAAGGCTATTAATGTGTTAATTCTAAACTAGCCTGGGTGCTTGCTGATTGTTATTCCTACATTTCACATTATGCTTTATTATTAGGTATCAGTATTCCTCTTTCTCACAATAACCAAGTATTAAAATAGTAAACTGAACATTGAATTTTTAAAACTAAAGCCTACTAAAGATCCACCCTTCCCCTATCACACACACCACACACACCACGCACACGATAGTACATTTACTGATGTTTTCCTCAGGAAAGAAATTAATTTCGCAGTGTAATTTTTTGCTAACTTGAATATTTTTCTGCCCTTCCAGAATAAATACATCAATTCAGCTATCTATGTAGTAGAAAACAGATTACTCCTTACATTTATCTGTGTGTATGCAACATCTGTTAGTAATTCTCCAATTCTTTAAATCTTAAGTTTCATAGAGTATTAATCGCAAACTCAAACACTGAAATTCCTTAATAGGTCTTGTTTTCTTCACACTTGTCCATAAGAAAATTAGCAGGAAATTATAAAGGAAATTTTTGAGCTCATTCCCTGAAATTATCTAAAAGTAGAAAAGTTTGGAGAACAGTTGGGCACTAGTTTTAGAACCTTAAGTGCCTTTCTTACTGTGAACTTGTATCTCCCTACAAGACACAAAGAAGTTTGGCTTTGAAGAAGAAAATTTGTATTTTAAAAAAGGCAGTGTTGTTCACTATTTTACACACACACACACACACACACACACACACACACACACACACAAAGAACTTAGGGACCGCGGATGTAGCTCAGCAGCGCAGTGCCTGCCTGGCAAGTGTGAGACCCTGAGTTTGGTTCCCAGTACCAAAAAACAAAATAGTAACAAAAACAAAAACAAAAAAACAAAAAGAACTTAGTTAATTCTTCAGTCTAGAAAAATACATGGTGATTTATGACAGGGCACAACAACAATAACACTGTGACAAACTATACCAGTGGGGATAAAGGAGGTACTGTAAAATTCAACTATTTTTAAAACTACAGGTGATTCTTGCTGATTTAGAAACAACTGGATCTACCCATGGATAATTAACTAATTGTGCTGTTGCTTTATTGCATATAATTCTGTAGTTAACCTTTGTTTTTCTTTACATTTATACCACTTATTCCTGTGTTCAAATTGAGTATTTTTCTCCTGAGATAAATTCAATTACTGCTGACTTATTATTTTAAATTATTTATTCCTTCATTTACACAGCTGGGATTGATTTAGAGCCTTGCATATGCTACAAAAGCACTATACCACTGGGCTATCCTCCCAGTTTCCTGACCTATTCTTAAGACTTCCTGATACCTGGATACTTGTTCTTGCATAGATCAGTGTTAAAAATATACACGGGAGGGGAGGGAGGAGTAAAAAAAAAAAAAAAAAAAAAAAAAAAAAAAATATATATATATATATATATATATATATATATATGGAATGCATTAAGTTGTGATTAGCAGATGGATGAGGGGATTAATAAAGTATAAAATAAAGTTAGTAACTTCAATCCTAAAATGTATAATGAAAAGAAAAAGAAACTAGATGACTGAGGTTCTTTCAGTTAAAGACAGGTAAACTAAACATGTATGTATGAACTTGTATTATTAGACAACTGAGTGCCTACTCTCTATAGCAAAGTAAGGCTTTATGTAATAAATATCCTTCACAATTATATCAAATTACAGTAGAGGCATATAATTAGTTTAGAAATGAGGAAGATAGTGAGGCCTGGTGGCACAATTCTGTAATCCCAGCCCTAGGGAGGCTGAGGCAGGATCTTGAGTTTGAGGCCAGCCTATGCTAACCAGTGAGCTTGAGGCCAGGCTAAGCTACCAAAGAGATTCCATTGTGGGGGAGTGGGGCAAGAGAGAATTGAGAAAGAGAAAATACAAAATACTATTATAAAAGCACAGAGAACAAGAAATATGTTTTTTAATTTTATTTTTAAAATTTACTCATTTAGCTACCGGGTATCCAACTCATGATCTCGTGCTTGCCAGGCAGGTGCTTATGCCACTGTGCTATATTCCCAGCTCCAAGAAATGTACTTCTAAATGAGTGTTACCTTTTTCCCACAGAAGTACTAAAACTACAACCATCACTTGTTCTACCAAATACAAAAATTTTGGTATCTTTTTTTTTTGGAGGAAGGTGATTTGAGACAGAGTCTTACTATATAGTTCAGGGTGGCCTTGAACTTGCAGTGACCCTCCTGCCTCAGCCTCCTGCATTCTGGGATTACAGGCATATGCCACTATGCCCAGCTCCTGAGCTACTCTTAAGACTCCCTAACACCTGAATATTTGGTCTTGGCTATATAAATGTTAAAAATACACATGGGGCCAGAGATTTAGCCCAGCAGCACAAGCACCTGCCTGGCAGGTGTGAGGTCATGAGTTTGATCCTCAGTACCCAAATAAACAAACAAAAATTAAATAAATTTTAAAAATACACATGGAATACATTAATTCTCCAGATGTTTACAGTCAAGAATGCCAAACAAGTCTCTGATTCAAATTTTATAATTGGTACTATAGAGATACAAATGAAACTAATAATAGAATTGAACAAATAGTCAAATTCTACTTTGTATTTCTGCATTATTTTAAAAATAATCCTAACTATTGTAGAAAAGCTTTTAGAAAACTATTTTCAGTTAAAACACATACGGGATTTCTAGCTCAAAGGCTGCAAAACATAGAAAGCTTGCAGGTACTATTTATTTCTAGCTTTCATCAAACTGTCTGGAAGAACATCTTTGTGATTAAGCATAGCTGATGAGTAGTTCTGCAGTTCTGAATCATCTTGGCAAGAATCTCCTGGACTGGATGTCCAAGGATGCTTCAAATGAGGGGGAATAAAAAGTAAACAAGAAGTACTCTGTAAGATATGAAACTAAAATATATTCCTATTGGGCACTAAAAAGTTTTATTTTTGTAAAATCCCGTTCTTTTAACAGCACAGTATTTTTTTCTAAATTTGCAATGAAAAACATTGCATTGTTAGTCTTATAGAGCTGACTTTATCTTAATTCTGTCATTGTAAAATTAGTTCAGTATTATTAAAGCTCTGATTTGAAGAAATGTTTTACAATTGATTAGTTCATATCTTCATTTGTCAAATGTTTTTATATTACAAATATCCCAACAAACATAACGTTTTGTCTCTTTCAAGTATCCTGATATATTTTAGAAAACACAATTGTTATTTCAAAATAGTATATGCCTAGCAACACAGAAATGTAGAGTACATAATCATGTTGAAAATAATCTGAAATCTTTTTTTGGTACCAGGGACTGAACTCATGACCTCACATTTGCCAGGAAAGTGCTTGTGCCACTAAGCTATATTCCTGAAATCTTATATGATAAAGAATAGCAAGTATATAAACAAGAGATTTATAAATTAATTTTAAGAACTGTATCTGCAATAGATAGATCACATGCAGTTAGGTCACAGTTCAAACCATGGCTTACGGCCAAGGATATATATAGGTCAGCAGCATAAGCACCTGCCTGGCAAGTAGAAGGTCCTGAGTTTGATCACTGGTACAAAACATGGCTTAGTACTTGTCAGTGTAGTTTGATCAATTCTGTATATTTACACAAAGTATACTTCATTTTCTTCCTTCTTTATCGCAATGTACATTTAGACTGCACAACAATCAACTCAAAGTCTGAAGTTTAAACTCAAACTTGAATGTATAATTATGCTTATCTATTCCTTAAAAGAACTAGCATTATCATGAATGAAAAAGCAAAATTCAACAGACTCCAAGGTTCTGAATTTTTGAAAAACACACAAAATGTTACTGTGAGACACCTGGAAAGAACTGTTGTTCCCAATAACTACAAATGGCAAACATTACCCCTGAGTTAACAAAAAGGCCACTTTACTCCATGGACTGGTGGAATGATACTCATCACCCTTTTTGCCCTCTTTCAAATTAAATTTCAAAATGATTGTAATAGCACAGATACCAGATGAGGGACTGGTAAGATCAAATAGGTATTTCTAAAGCAACTGAATCCAGGAGACGTTTTTACATTCTAGAATCAACAAAGGAAAAGCAAGGATGTGTTTAAAAGGGGAGCAGGCATACAAGGAGTGCTCTGGCATAAAGACAGAACCCAGAAGGACACATAGTCAAAATGGAAACAAAACTATAGGAGGAATCAGACAGTGTTACAAGGGGAGAAAGGTCTTTACAGGATAAAAAGAAATACATACTGAGAGCTGATTTACTACTTGAAGTTCTTATGGAGAGAAAACTAAATCTTAAGGCATAGAGTTGTTCTGTTCTTTCTCTCCCTCTGTAATTCTTATATAAACTTTCATTAAAATAATAAATCTGCCTTTTTGCAACTAAAGACTATGGAGACAGGGGGGTTATACCAGTTCAGTGGTATTCATCACAATTTTTTCAGTCTTACACTTAACAATATTCAGTGAAATATGATTAAATTTAAGTATGTATAATACATTTTAGTCAATTCTCAGTGCAATTAAAATTATCCTTCCTTATAACATCTCCCTTATGTGGATTACATATGGCATATTCTTAAACTCCTGAGAGGCCAGGTGTGGTGGCACATGCCTGAAATCCCAGCACTTAGGAGGCTGAGGCAGGAGACTTCTGCAAAGTCAAGGCCCACCTGAACTACAGTGTGAAATTTTTGGTCAGAAAACAAAACAAAGAACCATGAGTTAGAGAGAACAAGCAAATTTTAATAGCAAAAGAAAACTACAAAGAATAGTTTTTTAAAAAAATAGTTATGACTATTATTCATTCCTTCTTGGGTAGACTAATTACTCATTAGCTTATGGCCAAAGAAAGCAATAAAGCTTATTTTTAGAAGTAAACCACAGAACAAACTCAGAGGAAATTCAGATTTCTAACTCACAATAAACTTTTTTTTTCTAAAAACATTAGATCATTTAAAATGTTGAGTTTTCTCTTCTATTCACTAACAGTATTCGTCTACTGCAGGTACTCACTTGAAAAATGTGCGCACCAGAACCTCTTCCGTCTGCAACACTCAAGGCAAGACTGCCCTGGCTGCCATGTAGATCCCTAGAGCTGCCATACTGAGAGCTGCTTACAGCAGTGAAATTGGAATTAAAGGACCTTGACAGCATGCTCTGAATAAAGAGGGGACAGATTTAATAGAGATTAGTGCAGCATGCAAAGTAGACAAGACATGTTATATATGTAAGTTTACTTACAAGTTAGCCACACCTGATACTCTACAGAAATATCATGTAACACTGAATTTTCAGAGCCACTGAAAGAAATTGGCCCTATGCACCTCACATTTACATGACAACACAAACATACACATAAAACTACAGGTAAATAAAACATTTATATGTTTGAGTACCAAGAAAAGAAAGTGTAATAGTTGCTTTTACTTATTAAGTTGTATTATTCTCTTTACTCCTAACAAATTATAAAAGTCAGAAAATAGACATAGATGACATATTTAGATAGGTGTATCTACAGTCATTCATACATTTTTATATAAAAATAAATTCTACCAACTAGTAATTTTAAGGAAAATCAATTTCTAGAGTCCATTTTATTCTATAAAATTTAACTATATCTTTTAAATAACCCGCTAGTTCAAAATATAGACAACAAAATGTATCTGTGAAGAAATATCTGACAGGCAGTTTAAGAAATTTTTAAAACTATCTTCCACATTTAGTACAGTATTTTTACAATAGAGAAGAGTTTAACACAAACCCACAATTTTAGGATGTAACCTTTAATGGGCTTTGTAGCTCTACAACTATGAGAGTAAAAAAGCTAAAATGCAACAAAATTTTCCTAGTCAAATAAACATTTTAAATAGCACTACCCACATTTTAGAAATTAGCTATGCCTTTGAGGCTTACACTAAAAAGGCCACTAAAGGAATCCTACCATTGCCTGAGTTAATGTGAATACCCTACTTATTAATCCTAGAATCTAAGATGTACCTCAATAAATGCACTGCCTGATTCTCATTGTTCCAATTTGTTTATTATCAGCTTTCTTAAACTGTTCTTTCCTGTGGATGCTTTTAGTCATGCTTCTGACTTTTTAAGGTTTGATGGTTAAACAAGAAACCAAGCTATTTGGGCACAGCTATTAAAACACAGAAGTATCACAACTACCATAGTAAAAGAAAAAAAAAAAATTTAAAGACAGGGCCTCAGGCTGGTGATTTAGCTCAGTGGCACAGGCACCTGCTTGGCAAATGTGAGGTTGAGTTCAATCCCTGGTACCAAAAAATAAAAAATAAAAATAAAGACAGGGTCTTACTATGTAACCCAAGCTGGCCTAGAACTCATGATCTTCCTACTTCAGCCTCATGAGTATTGGAACTATAGACAAGTAACACCATGCCTGGCTGTTTATGTTACTCTTAGGAAATATGTATGTTCCTTAGATTTTGAAGTTGATACGTAATAGCAAGAAATAATACAGGATGTCAGAAGTATCTATAAAATTACCGAATATACTATCCTTTAGTGGATTTTACACTAATGACTAAACAAAAACCTAAACTTAAAGGCCCAGACATGCATTTTCCCCAACTATTTTATCATCAAGATGAAGACAGCAGAGTCAATTTAGAGGGTCTATAAACATTTGATTAGAATATAAACTTCATTCACAGATAGACATGAACATATATAAATAATATGCTTTGGTTTGTGACATGCAGAGCTTTAACAGGTTAACTTGACTGGCCTAGCTGACTCTTTTTATGATGTATAAATCTTAGAACAAAGCTTTCTGTGTCATCTTGGAACATATGTAAGCTTACTACCAGTAATTTCATTGAATAACAAGTTTCAAGTTCAAAACAGATTTGGTTGTGGATTCAAACTTGTCCACTGGCATCTACTTAAAACTGCACCCTGTCACAAGACACTACACAATGGAAAGTTACATATAATGTCCAGTGGTTCACCACATGCCGATATTTGTATGACAACTTAGTGAGGACTGGAGGTATAGCTCAGTTGGAGCAAGTCTCTGGGTTTAATCTCCAGCACCACAAAACAAAAACTATGTGAACATGGCATTATGTTGTTTTAATGATATTATAATTTGAAATGTATCATGTCTTAGGAAGGAATATTAGCAACTGCTAATATTACTTATAATTCAAAGAAAAAAAAGTTTATTTTGAGTCTTGTTTGAGATATGGTCTCACTATATAGGTCAAGTTGGCCTTGAATTCACTATGTGGTCTAGAGTGGCCTTGAAATCTCAGCAATCCTCCTGCCTCAGTCTCCCAAGTACTGGGATTACAAGCACGCACCACCACACCCAGCTCTTTTCAACTCTTTACTACTAACTGAATTGTCTTGAAATTTTCACGGTGAGACCTATTTTCTGTCTGGATCCCAGGTGGTCTTGCTATTTGGTTCACACTGGCCTTGGGCTTACTTTGTAGCCCAGGCTGATCTCGAACTTGCAACGATCTATCTCCATCAGCCTCCTGAGTGCCAGGATTACATGAGTGTGCCAATATGCCTGGTTTATGCTCGTCCTTTATTACGCACCACTATTTGAACCAAAGCTTTGAAATTTGAAGTCTAAATCATGCAGCCATTAAAATATCTAATTAGTAATATATTTACGTAACACTCAAAATGTTTATGGGCCCATACATTCCAATTCCCACATTAAATAAGAACTCAAGAGTGCAGCACAAAGTAGTTTCCATAAACAAAATTTCAGATTCATACTTGTTTTTAGAATGGTTTTTAACATAAAAAAAGACTGTCTCAAGTCAGGCCGAGTAGCACAGTTCTGTAATCCCAGTACCTGGGAGGTTAAGGCAACAGGACTGCTGCAAATTTGAGGCCAGCCTGGGCTACACCGCAAGACCCCATTTATTAAAAAAAAGCCTCTCTAAATGTTTTGAGAGCTTACAAGAATAAAAAAGATCACTTTTTAATAAATTATGCTTTAACATTAACAATCAAGTGTTTTGAATGAAGTGAGTTTATATGAGGGCAGTGTCAGAATAGTAAATTTTCTTAGGCAAATTAAAAGAACTATGTAATATTATTTGTAGGGGTAAAGGTCAGACTTACATGTTAAATTAAAAAAATACTAAAAAATGGTTAAAAATCCCCCCCCTAAACTATACACATATGGTTTTATTTACAGAACCAACAAGGTAAAATTTGAGGACCACTAATCTAGATTAAAAACAAAGGTAAAATCTATACACAAATGTTTAGTTGTTCATACTACTCAGCCATTAAAATTCCTAATAGCTAAAAGGAGACAGAAGACATTGGAGACTTATGGGTGTACACATCATAGAACCTTAACAAATTGCTTTTGGAATAGTAACTGTCTAGTGCCATTAGAAATTTACAATTACTTAAAGACAATTTATTTTTTTTAGTATTTCTGATAGGAAAATTTACCTCATGCACATGGTTTGTGTATCAGATTTCCAAACTACCTGCACACACTACTATCAGAAATTTACTATATTAAAAATCTCAGATTACTCAGTTTTGCTAAATACTATACCACACCACTTTAAGCACAGGGTCTTGCTACTATGTCGCTCAGATTGGCATTGAACTCACTGTGATTCTCTTGCCTCCACTTCCTGAGTGCTGGGATTACAAGGATGTGTCACCATGCGCAGTTTAGGACCTTTTTTTTTTTTAATAGTCCTGTCATTGTCTTTTAGATCCATCTCCTCTACTGCCACAATCCTAATCTAGGTATGCATCATTAAGATTTTTAAAAACTGAAACTGTTTCCTAAACTATCAATTTATTCTAAACACATCTGCCTAAACATCCTTTGGGTCTTCAAATATGGCTCCCCACTGTATACTAGGTCAAACTGAAATCATCTTTGCTTTTTCAGTTGTTCCCTTTCCTTCATATAACATGTATCATGCTATCTTGAGGAAATTATTTAATTATTCTGTGCCTCAATTTCCTTACTGTAAAATAGCATAATAAAGACATCCCATGAATCTCATGACACAAATATTCGCAGAGACAATTGTACCATGTAGCCTCCTAGCACTTTATAAACATTCTAACTGCTATTGTTTTATATCCATAATATAATCAAAATATTATATTATCAAATTTTCTCAAAGGACTTTCCTAATTCAATCAGACTCAAGTCTTTGTTTTCCCTGCCCTCAACATTACTTCCTGATAAAAAATTTTATCTTAATTATCAATTTTTTTCTCAAACTTGTCCCATTTACTATGCAAAGCCACTATTACAAAACTGTCATCACGTGTTCTCTAAGACATTATGCAGCTAATTTCTAAATATGGATTTTATGCAACAAATAATGAAAGCTGAGAAGCACACTAAACTTGATTTCTATTTACTGAAGTCCAGGGCACATCTCTGTCAGATTGGAAGGAAACAGGAAAACTAGTGATATAACATGGAGACCACACAGAATATAATAACCAAATGCATCTCTTCCTCCAAATCTGCTACTCTTTGTCTATGTACAATGACAGTGACATTCCCAGCAATCAAAGCACAAATCTCAAGCTTTATTCGTTTTCTTCAAAGGCTGATCATAGGAATACAGTACTTAATCAGAAGTAAACTCTCACAAAGTCTATTCAGAATTCTTGAATTCATTTCTTTGTTTCAACTCCACTGATAGAAATTAATTTTTTATTTGCATCACTAAACAATCTCATAATTCAATCTTTCACTACTGCCTCTTCCCCACAAAATCGTTTCACACTGCTACCAGCATTTAGAAAACAGAGCTACGTTAGTTCTCTCCAATGCTTAAGAAATTTCCGTATTCCAGAGAAAAAGCATAAAATTCACTGAAAAGAGCTAACACTTATGGGCTGAGATTTAATATGAATCAATCATATTTTAGGCATTTATTTCTCAAAAAAATTTAAAATGACCAATTAAGACTATGTATGTTCAGCTGCATTTACAAACAGGAAAAATAATTCTTGGGTAAAATCCAGTGAGATATAAAGCTAAACCATAAAAAAGTACTTAACATTTGGACCATGATTATGGTACAAACATTAATTTCACAGGATAATTTTTTATTTTTACCTCCTTTCAGAAGATAAACACCTACACATAAAAGTTACAGACGTGTATGAGCGATAGTTGTTTAAACAATGATTTCCAAGCTCTATAACAAAGAAACACTTAACTATGTTCAAAAAGTTCAGAAATGCAGTTCAGAAAAGTCAACAATGCCATGCTAGACGTCATATTGAGTCAGTGTCAATGTTAGTTCATGTATTGTGGATTAGGAAAAAAAATTACACAAAATATTTACCTTTGTAAGTATATTTCCGGTTATTTTGTTAACTATAAACTGCTGCTTTCTTACGCTACTTACATAATATGTTAGTAGTAAGCAAGTCACAAAATGCTAAGCAGAGGTACACATGTATTCTTTCTACTACAGTGTGTATAAGATACAACAGATAAACGTATAAAATGAGTACATGACCATTGGAGATAATATGAAATAAGAGAGGCAAAAGAAGTAGATACTAACATCTCAACTGTCTTGGTTAAGTTTAGTTTTAGGACTCTGTTCTCTAAACTATGGAAATATTCCACAGAGTATCTTGTTCTTCTTTGAATAAAGAATACCTAACATTTTTAAGGAAAACAAATGTACTCATAAAGAGATTAAAGAATTTATGTTCAATTACCTTTTCTAACTTTTTGGCCTCAATGTGTCGAAGTACTTGTTCTCGCCAATCATGAGGAACTTTACTTTTTCCTTGAGGATCTAATAAAGAATGTTCAGAACCAACCCTTGCATTTGGTCGCTTTGAAGGACTAGTCCGTGAATAGTTGAAATCACTAACTGACATAGTTCTCTCTGATATTTCATTAACAGAAGGTCGAGCACTCTGAGGCCTTGACCCATTCGGGCCATCCATGCTGTACGTTCGTGCAGAAAGAGGTCTCTGCGATCCTGACATCAATGGAGGAGTTCTTCCCACTGAATGTAACTCTCTGTATGATAAATAATCTCCCTCAGGAATCTGAGCATGCCTTGTGGAACCTGGATCACCAAGATTTACAGAGGCTGCTGAGGATACACTACCTTGTCGCTGAACTGAAGCTCGACTTACAGCAGGAACAAGTCGGTCATTTGGTGAAACAGCCCACATTTCTCCATGTCTTGTTGGTCCAAGTCTCTGATGTAAATGGTATGCAGTGTTGGCTCTAACATTGTTATGGTTAGAGAAATTCATATTGGCAGAATGTTTAGCATAGCTGTGGTTTTCTGTGCTTTCTGATCTAGGAAGGCGATGAGGAGGAAAACTAACAGGATCTACCTGGGAACTTTGTTTGGAGTACCACAAACTGTCTTTGACAGCAGCATTGCTACTATACTGGATGTTATACTGTGGAGAACCATACATTTGAGATGTAGATTGTGGGCTACTTGTTGTGGGGGCTCTCAATGTATCTGGTTCTTCAGGATTATGATTTGAATCAAACTTCAAAACTGCCTTTGTACCCGACATTAAATCAGAAGACGAAGAAGAACCAGTAAATACTTGTAATGGTTGATCATACAATAGTGTCGCAGACTTGCTCCTGACTATATTTTTTCCATCAACAGCAGCTGTGATTTTAACTGCTGCACTTGGCTGCTGAGGTCCATTATCACTAAGAATATCATAAATTTTTAACCCTCCTGTCTCCATATTAGTTATGCTATGAGATTTCACAACAGATCCAACTGGACCACTTCTCTGAGGCGAGATATCTTCTGTGCTTTTGGAAATACCTACATCAATAGAAGAATTGGTATCTTGTAGTTCAGTCCTAGTAGGAGACTGTGGCATTTCCTCAGAATGTCCATTTACCTTATTTATGGATTCCAGATTATGATACTTGTTACCGTTTTCCAAATGCTCAGCTTCCTTTTTAGAGTTGTTAAAGCCTACTCCAAGCACTACATCCTGTGTCTTTAATCTTTCCATTACCTCTGGTTGAAACGTATCATTGTTAACAAGTTTATTAAGATTCATGTTGATATGGTCTAATTTGTGAGGTTCATCAGATGTGGCTGTTGAGTCAATGCCTTTCTCAATTAGAACTAATTGTTCTTCGATATTTAAATCATATTCAGGAAAGTTAAAATCTTTTTTATCATGAACCTTGAATTTTTCCTCGGGTGAATTGTTTAAAATATCTCCATTTTGCAAAAGGTTGTTAAAATTCTCATCTTCTTGCCTAAAATAAAGATAGTTTTATGAAAAAATAAAAAAGCAAGTTTTCTCAGTAATGGGGGACCATTTAATAACTACTTGATACACTAATATAAGAATTGTCAGAATCACAGTTAATGGTACCAAGCATGTAGTATAAAAATATTACCTTCATGGCACAATGTATACATGTATCATAAAATCACCTTACCATACTACTATGTACAACTTTTAATGTTTTTACATATTTGTTTAAAAATTGATTTAAATGAAAAAATACTACCTTAGTCAAATAATACTAAATTTTTATTAAGTTGGGTAGAAGTAAACATAACTAAAACTCACAGGTAATATCAAGACTAATTATCATCAATATGCTGGATCTAATTTTTGACAAAACTGTTTAAATGTGCTAATGTGTAAACAAAAGCAGAATTCTCTATCCTCTTCTGTTTCCATACAATACACATACACAAAGCTTTTCACAAATATACCAAAAAAAAAAAAAAAAAAAAAACCCAGAAAGATTATTGAGTAGATAAGAGCATAGGAGATTTTTATAGGTAACTATGATGTCTTATATTATTAAACAGTTAACAATATTAGGTATACAGTTATTCTTTAATTCAAACACATATGTAAAACATTGTACAAAGAACTAAATTGCCCAAAGCTCTGCATTAACTATGTAAAAGGGATAAAAAGAGAACTAAATGTAATCACTATTTTATTTTTAAGTGGCTCTACACTGTATTTGGCAAATACTTCATAAATATGCCATTCTAAAATTATAGGCAATATTTTATTTCTGCTGGTGCAAAACAAATACATTTATGACTTTTCTAATCAAGCTGTTTCCATAAACATGCCTTAATACTGTCCTTCCCAACAGACAAAAGATAACACTTATTAGAAATAAATAGCACAAAAATAATATATAAATACTATATTACTTTCCAACAAAAATATAATCAGTAAAATTTCATTCAGCAAATTAATTTTACCATCTAAGGGATTATGAGATTACAAAATTGGTGGTTCAGTTCTTTAAAATCAACACTGAAAACTGAACCTGGGATGGGAGGGCAGAACTACATCCCCAGTTCTTGATTAAATTTTATTTTGAGACAGAGCTCATTAAGTTATCCAGACTGGCCTTGAACTTGTGATATTCCTGCCTTAGCTTACCAAAGATTACAGGCTTGAGTCACTGTACCCAGCTAAAATTAGTATTTTAAAACAGTAGGTATTACTCTAAAATTCAGAGAATGAACGTACATGATTAATTGTAATTATGTAATACTTAGGCATTTCAGGCAAAGATGTGTGTTCTTTTTACTACAATACAAATAACATAGTTATTTAAAACTATGAATTTAAAAACAACTTAAATCTAAATGATATTTAAAATATCTGAATAATCAGTTTTTGGTTCAACAGTAGCCTAATTCTTTTGAGCAAACTACAGGTAACAGACTGATACCAAGGTTAAATAGCATGGTCTTGTTTCAATACTCAAACTTCTTAACAGCTTAAACAATAAAATGAATTTGAAACCTGTTTTACATTCCAGACTATAGGAATGAACAACTACATTTCTCTTAGGTTTGTCTTACAAAATTAAGTATAGGTCAAATATATAGTACCAATCAAAGTATCTGAATGTATCCTTCAATGGCTTCCCCCAAATGATCCTATACTAAGTATAAAAATAATCTTTTCAGCCTAAATTACTCCAATAGGCTACATAAGTTGTACTATGTATAAATAATGTATAAATGTACAATCTTTTCACCAAAAGCTTGAGAATCTCATTCAAGTCTTTCCTTCCCTACTTAAAAAAACTTTTAAAATGGAAATATACAAAAATTAAAGAGTTACAAAATGAAAGAAAATACATAATGCTTGAACCACTTTTGTAATATCTCTGAAACACTTTATATATCAGGCATGCATTTATTATTTGCCTATTTCTACATATTGTTCAGGTAAGTAATTTTGTAAGCTGTTCACAAACCTGATTTGAGAATTAATACCAATGTGAGTTTGTTTCACTGGAGAGCAGAGTGAAGTGTCTTGACTACTATCAGTATTAAGAGAAACTGAATCAGACATCCGAGATGGAGACGAACAATTGCTGTTATTCTGATTGCTATTGTGTGTAACTTCATCTGATAAAGAATCTGCATCCTTTGTTTCATCTGGAACAGATACACAAAGTAACACCAATGATAAATTCAGGAAGAATTAGTGGGAAATGTTTTCCAGTGATAACAAATTGCATTTGCTTTTTTCTGGTTCCTATACCAAGTAATAAATTATATGGATAAGCAAATAACCTGAAGTACCCTGAAAATTCAGACCTAAATACAAAGATTAAAGAACTTTAAAACTGTGATGTCATTTTTAAAGTAATAGAAGTTAGAGTTACCCAGAATTTGATTTAATTATGAACAGGACTATAAGCACTATTTTCTTTTTTTTTTTTTTTGCACCAGGGATCAAACTCATGATCTTGCGCTTGCGAGGCAGGCACTTGTGTTGTTGAGCTAAACTTCCAGCTTAAGCACTGTTTCCTAAGGGCATTAATTAATGTTAGTGAATATACCTTTTTTTATAATTTTAACAAAAAAATAAAAAATACAATTATACTTCACAACCCTTCTAAACTCTGGGTACTATTTCATACGCATGTAGAATGTCTTTCCAACTTATTCTGGTAATAAAATGAGCAAAGCAGTCAATCCACAAACACAAGCAAATTCTCAAAGGTCAGCTATTTCTTACGCTCTTTAAAGCATTTCCTGGAATTCTTTAAAATGGCAATCACTTGAAATGGCTATATCTGTAATAATCATAACAACAGAAACAGTGTTCATCATCCATAACAGATGGGTAATGTAAAAAGTGTTACTTTTAAGAAGCAGTTATTAAAACATGTTTTTAACAATTCTAGTAAAATTATGGAAATGGTATATCTAGATACATCTGTGGAAATTACATAAATTGAGTATAATTTTGATGTTCTCAGATCTTACAACAGCTTAAGTAGTCTCGATCTCACAGTATTTGAATATTGGGTTTTTAATACAAATAAACTAGATAGGACTTTTCTAGATATATTCTTCCCCCTTATTATGGGGCCATTATGGCAATTAAACAATAACATATAAAAATATTTAGCATTGTATCTATATAACTTATAAGTAAAATGTTCAACAAATAGCAGGTATCAGTACCACAATCATGATGAACACAAACTATTCAAGGGCCACCCTGATAGCAAGCATAAGTGATGCCATAAATGCCAAAGGGTAGGTACACTTTTGGTAGAGATAATGTAAAGACAATGAGGCATCCATGACAATGGGGAAGTGAATGAAAGCTATCTTTTAAAGTGCCACCTCTTTTCTGAGTATTGTGATTATCCTATGACATTCTGTTAACAAAGAAAAATGGTGAGACCTGGGGGTGGTTAAAAATAATGATCTGGAAGGGGTTGGGAATTTAGCTTAGCAGCGTAAGCATCTACTTGGCAAGAGTGAGATCGCAAGTTTGATCTCTGGTACCCCCTCCCAAATAATAATAATAATAATAATAATAATAATAATAGTAATAATAATGGTTTGGAATACACAAGTAAAATCACAAAGGACATCTACTATGAGTTAAGTATTGTGTTACATCTGAATATACAGTCTATTTGACATAAAATTCTTCATTAGCTTCATTGCCTATCAAACCAGGTATGTACATATGGATAAAAGTAAATAATACAAGCTGGGCACAATGGCGCATGCCTGCAAGCCCAGCACTCAGAGGCTAAGGCAAGAGGACTGCTGTGAGTTCAAGACTAGCCTGAACCATATGTTGAAACCCTGCTTCAAAAAAATAGACCAAAAAAAATTTTTTTAAATTAAAAGTAAATAATCCAAAGATTACATAATAGGTAAGAACAAGAAATAGAATTATAAATTAGACTATTTGTCTGTAAAATACAAGTCCTTAGATGTGAACTTCCACGGAGAGAAAGAAAAGATCCACCAAGATCATATGTTAAAAATGAGAAATGAAATTTTTTCAGGAAGGTATGTTCAAAATCTTGTTTCTATGATATTTGATAAAATTTATTCCAAAATTCTATAAATTTTATTCAAGTCATTTTTTACTCTTAGTGCTTTCCTTTAACATCTAACCTTTTTTGTTGTTACTAAGTGCTACGACTTTTGGCTGGTTAATAGAGGTTTCAATTAATGGTGGTCGCATCTCCGCCATTTTCATCTCTTCATCAGAAGAAAGTTCTTCAGGTTCCTAGTTTAGAGAAAAAAGGAGAATATTTACAAAAATTAAATATTTGACTGAATAAATATAAAAACATGTACGAAATCTTTTCATGGTAACAGATAATTCAACCTAGAATGTGATTTAACTTTTTCAAGGTATGGCAATACCACTATGGATGATTATTAACAATATGCCAAAGCACCTATGAGACAATTTTCTGTGGCAGGCTTTATTCAAATATGTTAATAGTTTGTATGTTCTGATACTATGCAAAGTGACAGACTAATAAAAATTAGATTAAATAGAACCCCTGCCTTTGAAAAACTCAGTTTAGGGAGAGTCCCTTAACAAATTTTCTTTAATTCTTAAATTACTCTTCTTTTTCTTTTCTTTTTTTTTAGAGACAGGATCATGCTATAGTCCAGGCTGGCCTTGAACTCCTGTTGATCTTCAGCCTCCCAAATGCTGGAATTATGGGTGTGTGTCACCATGCCCGGGAATTAAATGTAGTATTTTAAGGATTGCTGGGTTTCAAAGAATCACTTGGACTAAAATAGAATGCCATCAAAAATGAACTGATAGGAATTTTTTTCCAATTTGAGGTCAGAATTTTTTACTTTCTGTGATTTCTCTCCTATTTATTCCAGATTACCTAAAACTAAGTGCTATCAGATACAAAGAAAATAATTTGTTACTCAATAAATATTAAGAGAAAAATTTTAATATCATAAATGTTGTACTTGAAATCTGATAACCTATAAACTAATCAATCCTAGTTAATATGATGAAATTAAAAACAAGTCCTTTCAAAGGGTACTCTGCTAAAAGCACCAAGCCTTTCTTTTTTTTTTTTTTTTTATTTAAAGAAAAGGAAACAAAAGAATACATGGAGATTTTAAAAAAGGGTAGAAATAATACAAACTTACAGAAAAACGGTAAGAAATTGCTGGTTGATAAGTTACACATTGTCATCTTAGAAATAGCTGTTCATGTTATAGAATTAAAGCATTTAGAATGACATTCATAAAGTGACACTACAAACCCTTCTGCTCTATGATCGAACAAGAGCTCAGTAATACGGTTATCAGTCCTACACATTTGTTTTACTTCTCAAAGAGGGTAAGATTAAACATATCAAAACAGAACATAGCAGTTAAAAAAACAATTTAAAGAAATACAGATTTCGTAGCAAGCCCACTGGAGATCTTCATTGTCTATCTGTCTCTAGTTTCTTACAAATAGTTGTCCCCATCTTCACCCACTTTATATACTTATTGTATATTATAGAACTAATCAGATCATTGGAGACTTTTTAGGTCCTCAGGTACCAAATTAGGGAAGACAATAGTAACTACCAACGCATCTCTCATTCTCTTTGTGATAGCTGTCCCCATCTCTACATATGCTGAAATTGAACTCAAGAAACCAGTCCAATGTCATTCTAATCAGCAAACATTAGTATTGCTAGAATTTCTATCATAATGCTACTAAATTAGCCTCGGGTTTCTTAGCGTCTCTTCCTCAGAGTATCTGTTCATTACATCTTACATTATATAATCTGTTCCCGTAAATAATTAAAAAGAAAAAAAAAACCCATGTGTGAATTTCTACATATATATCTATCCTCTCTGTGTTATATACCAAGTCATAGCAAGACAGCAAAGCAGTTTCCTAGAAAAACATGCAATGGATAAAACATATAAGACCACAATATAGATGATCTTCCGTAGTTACTATGTTTCCTCTTGTTATTTTCAATAGATTTGACCACCACACTGGCTTATTATAGTTAAATATAGTATCACCTATTTTTATAAAAACTTAACTTTGACAGCATTGTAGGATTTGGAAGCTGTTACTAATTAATACCAGTATGGATATTCTTTACATCTTGTCATCCTCAGAGTAGTTGCCTCTACTTTTTGAGTTGATACTAACAAGCATACCAATTTCAAATAAAATCAGCCATGGCCAACCCATAGTCTTATGATTCAGATTCAATTAAGATCAGTCATAGTAAGACAATGTAAGTATTATAGGATTTCAGTTTAAGTTAATAGGAAAGTAAGGATAGTTACCGTGGTATAACCTGCTATTTTTGGGTCAAGATGTCTGTGCCCTCAAATCTGACATGAGTGGACAGACCAGTATATATTAAATTCATACTAAATATGTCCATAAGACTACTATGTCTTTTAAATCCTTATACACCATTAAAAATGACCCCTGCCTTTTTTTTTTTATAGTTTCAGCGCTGTTTATACTAAAGACTATAGCTTACCGTCTCTGCCTCATGTCTGCTACTCCACTTTTCTACTATATTTTGTCCACCTTATTCCCTCATTCCACTGTCTGCCCTGTTCACTGAGGCCTCTCTGCCACTGTTGCTGGAACCCTGGTATCTCTTCCTCTCTTTCTCTGTAATGTCCTTCAGCACTCTCTGTAGGGTTGGATTGGTGGCCATGAACTCCCACAGTTCCTCCTTGTCTTGAAAATATCTTATTTCTCCATTAATTTTGAGAGAGAGTTTTGACGGGTATATGAGCTTTGGTTGCATATCATTTTCTTTCAGGACTTGGAATATTTCTCCCCACTCCCTTCTTGACTTAAGAGTTTGTGTTGATAGGTCTGCTGTTATTTTGATAGTTTTCCCGTTGTAGGTAATCTGCATCTTTTCTTTGGCTGCTTTTAATATTCTGTTCTTTTGGTGGATTTCTGGAATCTTTATTATTATATGTCTAGGCGTAGATCTGTTTTGGTTGTAGGTAGCTGGTGTTCTGTATGCCTCTTTTATCTGGATATCATTTCTTTTTGCTATATATGGGAAATTTTGCTTTAATATATCTGTGAATATTCTTTGTATTTCATTTTTGGTAGTTCCTGCTTCCTCACTCACATTCTTTATTCTTAAGTTATGTATCTTTTTGTCATCTTCTAGTTTTTGAATTGCTTCATTCTGGTTCCTTATTATTTTTAAGAGGCTTTTTCTTTCATGATCATATGCCATAAATCTCTCTTCAAGTTTCAGTAGGCTGTCTTTAGTTTCTGTCAAGGCATTTTGCCAGTGTTCAGTGGAGTTTTTAGTTTCCTGGTATTCTCTTTGGATTTGTTTCATGCATTCTAAGTTATGTTTAAATTCTTCTTCAGAAGTTTCTCTTTCTTTTCTGATTTCCTCAGTTCTTCCATCTGTGTTCTCTTGGGCAGGGCTTGTCGTTTCTTTAATTAATCTCTTTATATCTCGTCTCACTTGAATCAGGAGTACAGCTTTAAATTCTTCTATGAGATCATGTAGGTACTTTTTAATTTCGGCTGATGCTGTGTCAAGCAATGGATGGTTACTGTGCTTGTTCTCTTCGGTGTTTACTTCTCCTGGGCTTATTTTCTCATGTTGGGCAGCTGGAGATTTTTTTAAATTTTTATCTCTTGTCATGTTTCTGGTTTCTTTCAGACTGTCCTGGGGTTCTCTGGCCCTCTCCGAATTGCTTAGGGCCTTTCAGGAGCGTGCTGATTTGAGTTTTTGCTGTCCTCCTCAATTTGCTGTTATCTGGGGTAGGCTGGGATGCAGGGGCGGTACTGGCTAGTCTCCAGCCTCTGCGCCAGTCAGTCCATAAATTAGACTGTACTTTCTGGATGTCACTGAGTTGTGACTATTTTGTATCTGCTTGCTGGGCCCCAAGCAGAGGCTTGGTTTAGCCCCAGTATCTCCTGCCGGTTCTCTTTGTACCAGAGCAGCTGACTAATGTCACTATGGCACAGGGTCCTGCCCAAATCCCAGCTGTTCTCTTCCAGACCTCTCTGTGACAGGAGCACCAGCAAAGCAGAACTGCCCAAACTCAAGATGTCTCCCACCAGTTCTCTGTATGAGGCTGAAGCCAACACGTACTCAGGCTATGCCCAATTTCAAGATGCCTTCCACTAGTCCTCCCTACAGGGGGCTCAGTGATGCCACTGAGCTGTAGGTTCTGCCCAACTGTAAAATGGCTGCCACCAGACTTTGTGTTATTGATGTCCCCGTGGTGGCGGGCACTGCCCCGTTCCAAGATGTTCTCTGGCCAACCCCAGCAGCTGCGGGGGCCCCAGTACTCACCAGGGTCCACGCCGCCCACCTTTCCCGTGCTCCCGACACAGCGCGGATCGGTCAGAAATCCACGCAGCGTGCACTTCCGGTACAGCGCAGAACGGTCAGAAATCCGCGCAGCGCCTGGTACAGTGCGGAATGGTCAGAAATCCGCGCTGCGTGCACTCCCGGCACGGCGCGGAGCGGTCAGAAACCCGCGCGGCGTGCACCCCCGGAACAGTGCGGAACAGCATTTGGCTTTGGAGCTCGAGAGTCTTTCACAATCTCCTCTGGTGTAGCGGGGCAGTCAAAAGCTAACACAGCTTTTCCTGTTGGGTCCATGGGTTAAATTGTTGATTTAAAGGCGCGGGATTTGCAGCCTCCCGTTTTCAGCCTTCACAGTCTCAGCATGACTTTAAATACTCCAGCTGCACTGTCTTGGTTAATAAGAATCGTTATCCATTTGTCTGGCCCTCTCTATGTTGTCTTATTCTAGCTTCTAATATGATTTCTCCGGAGAGACTCTCCGCCCGATCCTCTAGCAAGCCGCCATTTTCTTCCTCCCCCCAAGCCTTTCATAAGCAGTCCTAACTACCTAAAAGATTTGGAAATAATCAGCAGATTATTTCAGTAAAATGAGATTATAAACATTTTAGGTGTTAGAGGCTAAATCATCATTGTTTAGACTGCAGCTGTGGCACAAAAACATTCAGAAAATATGTAAACAAAGGATTATGACCTCATTCCAATAAAACTTTGCAATCTGAATTTCATGTAATTTCCATGTCCTAAAAGTATTCTATTGATTTTTAATCAAACTTTTAAACAAGGTAAAACTGTTTTTAGCCTACAAGCCAAATAAAAAGAAGCAATGGGCTACAAGTTGTAAACAGGCCATCAGCTATAATTTGTCAATCCTGCTCCAGACTGTACTACACAGGAAGCCAGTTAGTATAGTAAGAAAAGGAGGTAAATTCACTTAATCTTCAAGAATGAACAAAGAGATCTGGGCATGGTGATGCACACCTGTAATCCCAGCACTTGGGAGGCTGAGGCAGAAAATCGCTCTAAGTTCAAACTGCATAACAAGACCCTGTTTCCAAAAAAGTAAAAGTGAATAGAGAAAAGAATGACATTTTGAGTACAGAGAATCACAGAAATGAAAAAAGGTAAGCTGGCACAATGCAGCTGCAGCTCAGGATACACAGCAAGAAAGACCAAAAAAAGAAGACTGGACTGCAGAGAAAAGTGGTTTTCTGACTACAGACTCAAGTCAAGGATGTACTGGCCAAGCCAGGAACATGTAAGATCAGAATTATTTTTTAAAATATTAAGTCTTACAATAAAAATGTACAGGGAAAGGAAAGACATTGGCAGAAAGGGATCTAGCTGTCACCATAATCCAGAAGAAATACAGATTTATAACAATGGTAGCTGACAAAAAGAAAAAAACTCACAGAAATTTGGGAATTATCAGGACTCAGTGACAATTACATATATAGAGTGCAAAAATGAGAAAAGGGAGGCTGGGGATTTAGCTCAGAAACACAAGTGCCTCCCTGGCACATATGAGGTTGTGAGTTCGATCCTCAGTATTTTTTTAAAAAAAAGGAGAGAAGGAAGGGCAAACAATCTACTTTACTCTTTGGTATCTGCATTGTTTATACTCCTGACCATACTTTCTACTTTATAAAATTACATTATACACTGGTTTTCCAATTGCTCAGATGCTACAAATCCAAAAACAAACCTGTCAGCCTTTTAACACCCCTATTCTGTTAATGACACCAACCTAATCAATTATGATTATGTCACTGTTGCCACTTCTCTATCCTTTATAGCCAGATACCTACATGCTATATCATCCATAATCTCATAGCTAACTTTCAGTCCATGTTTTTTGTTAAGGTTGGAGAATTCAGCAGCTGGCTCTATGATGGTAGTATTACTTGGGACCTACTTTACTTCCACATTTTACTGAGTTCTCCTATTTCTGTCAATTAAAATATTTCAAATATATGTCAGATGCCGTCTCCTCCATAAGGAAGTCACAGGTCATCATGGCCGGAAAAGATCCATTTTCTAAACTTAAGTTAAAATTTAATTATTTTCTTACATATCTTAAAAATAGTCTTAATTATACTTATATTCCACCACTACAACTCCAAACACAATGCATTCAACAAAGAATCACACTCAATGACAGCAGCAAATTCACTAGAATAAACCTGAAAGTTTTTCAAAGGCGATGGTGTATTAGCTTCAATGCATCTAATAATATATTGAGTGATGTTATCCATCTAAAGTAGATTCAAAAGTCCTGAATTGTCTTTTATCCTCTTTAGTAGCCACTAGCTCATAAGACAATTGTGAAAATAAATGTGTTTCATATGTATTCTGAATTTTTAGAAAGCAAGATGCTATTGTTCCTACATACACTGCAGTCCAATACAACTTTCTACAATGATAGAAATCCTTCATATCTGTACTGTGTTAGACTCAGGCACTAACTAGCCAGATGTGGTAATAGTCATTCAAAATGACTCAAAAGCTCAAGTGTTAAAGACTTTGTTTTTATTTTTTTGGTGGCAATAAAGAATGAACCCTGGGGCTCACCCAGAGTGGGTGAGCACTGTCCAATTGTGCTACATCCTCAACGCCTCAATTTTTTTTTTTTTTTTTTTTTTTTTTTTTTTGGTAACAGGGATCAAACTCATAATCTCGTGCCTGCCAGGGAGGCACTATGCCACTGAGCTATGTCCCTGGCCCAGCTTCTCAATTTTTAAGTTTATTTACATTTCAAATTTACATAACCACTTGCGGTTTAGTGTGTACTATGGTGGACAATGCAACCATAAATAAAAATAATTAAAATATAACTACTTGAAAGCTACAGCTTCTCAAAAATTTTAAGCTATAGCTTCTCTGTTTTGCATCAGAATAACAGTCTTTCAAGAGAATACAGTATAAAATTGTTGTAGCTGTCTGGCAGTTCTTCAAATAGGCAAATTAAGATTTAGTATATGTTCTAGCATATACTAAATTCTATTCCCACATCCAGGAGAAATGAAAATATATTTCTACACAAAAACCAGTACACAAACATCCACCATGGCCTTATTCATTATAGTGAAAATGTAGAAATAACACAAGTGTCCATCAACTGAAGAACAAACAAGTGGTACATATTGTAATCTCAAATACTGAGTACAGTAATCCAAGTATTACAATTCCCTTTGTAGTCTTTTTCGCAATCTAAGAAGTTATATTTTTAGTCCCATTGAGAAGTTAGTGGAACTTTGGCAAGTTAATTTTAATTTATCACCTTTAATGCAATCTACAGCGAGAGTAAAGATACCAAGACATATTTCAAGCTAAGGGTAGCCAAGGGGTTCTGAATCCTATACCTGTGAGAATGTACGGACAAATATATGGACAAAGGCCCTGATCTCAGGCCTCTTTCAGAATTCTTCACCTCTGCAAAGAAGGGGATGGCTTGAGGATAAGTGATAGTGAGGATGGTAGGAACTATGTGAGTAACTTGAGCTAGCTAGCCAGATAGTGAGAAAAGCATCTTTGTAAAATGCAGAGATAACAATATACAGAACGATCAATTTGCACAATTTAATTAAGGTTGCAACCGAATTGTTTTTGGAGCCTGTTGCTCTAGTTTTTGATAGACTGTTTGGCCCTGGGGACTCATACCCTCTTTTATCTTGAAGCTCATATGCAGTTGACATTTTGGAGCTGACTGGCTCTACTATCATGCTGTGCTTATATATTTTATAAAGAACACTCTGCAAAACAACAGGAGACTGTCTGATGGCTTTAGAGATTACATACCAATACATTGGCTAGCCTTATTTACAATGCTTAGAGCCAATTAAAAACAAATGTTAGCTCTATACAAATTGCAGTAATTGTTCTGCATTCAAGGTCATTCAAATCATCTCCCACAGGTACATACATACAATGGAGTATTATTCAACCATAAAAATGAAGGCAGCAATGGTATATGTTATAATATAAACTTGCATGATAACATGCCAAGTGAAATAAACCAGTTACAGAAGAACCATACATTATATGATTTCATTTATATAAAATGTCAAGAATAGGCAAATCTACTTAGGGATATTTATATAGATTACATAGATTTTTGGTAACCTAGGGCAAAGAAGAGACTGAGGATGAAAATATTGAGGAGTAACAGTTAAAGGACATGGAATTACTGAGGTGATAAAACTGTTTTAAAAATGATTCTGATGATGGTTGCACAACTTTGTAATATACTAAAGCCCGTTGAAGCATATGCTTTAAATGGGTTAACCATATAGGATATATCTCAATAAAGTTATAGCTTTTATTCTTCCACCAGAAGAAGCTCTAGATATAAGAAAAAACACTCAACAAAAGACCCCTTCATATCAATGATAAATGTTTAAATAAGAGAAATAATTGACTATACCTGTAATAGCCTTTTCATTTTTAAATTGTGGGAAAGGCAATTACAATTATGTATTTTACAGTAGACTGTCATCTAATTTACATAGCAGTTAAACGCTTCTGTATAAATAGTATAAGAATTATGTTTGATGTAATAAACTTACCAAATACTATGAAACTTCTTAATGGTGAAGTTACTTACCTATTTTCTGCAATTATGGTAACAGGTTTCTAAGAGTGGTTAGCAAAAATTAAACAGTAAGTTGAAAATTCTTAGAATTATCCAAGAATAATTATAAAAAGTCATACCTCAAAAACGTCATCATGATTAACAATATGCTTCAAGTTCTCAGAGACTTTCATATTTACAGTCATTGGTAAATTCCCAGAACTGATCTCAGCTTCAGGTTCACTGATCTTCTGTATAGAGTTCCCTATCATGTGCTTTTCTCTTTCATCAACTTTGCTTTTTATTGGAGTAGTACTTTCTGAACCCTAAATAAAAGAAATTAAACTTAATTGTCAGCTTGATTGACTTGGGAGGTGCCTAAAGGATAGTACACGTCTGGGTGTGTTTGGGCAGGTCATGAACTGACCGCCTTGGTTACCCTATTTGGGTCCCTGATCCTGTCCTCTTGGTACTGTTACCTTTATTTGCTTCTCAGATGCCATCAATTGAACTGCTTTGCTCTGCCATGTTTTAGTCCTAGAGTCTATTGACTATGGATTGAATCCTCTGAAATTATAAGCCAAATAAGCCTCTTTTCTTTTAAGTTATAGGTGTTCAATATTGAGTCCCAGGAATTGGAAAACTTGTACTTAAGTTTTACATCTATTCTGTATTAAATTTACAAGTAATGTATCAACATCCAATTCTACATAAACCTTAACCGGGAAATTTAACATTTACAGACATTAAAATTTGTGATTTAGCCAGGTTATTTTTCCTCACGAAAGTTACAATGCTGGTGTGGACAACTGAGTTACTTATGTCAGCATGGTCAACAAAAAAGTAAGATTGTTTTCTGCTAATTGTGGAATGCATAGTAACTCTAATGAAAGATAAAAGTTTTGTTTCTGTGGTATGTATATGGAAAGTTCACTAAGGAGTATTAACTCAGATTTCTAAAAGTTTCTGGACTGTCTTTGAGAAAAAGTCTGTCAATTACCAAAATAGGGAAAAAAAGAGTGTATCCATAATAATGACTTTTCTGACAATCATTATCTTGTTCTTTGCTTAGGAAATTATTTTTCAAAGACAATCTTGATAAGACCTGCCACTCTGGACATTTCACACCCAGAGAAGAGTAATAAGAGTTAGAGAGTTTAATGAGTTCACTTTCTTATTCAGAAACTAAAATAAATTTAGAAGTACATTTAGTATACTACAAGTATCACGGTATCACATGTCATAAACATTTCAAAGACCTTGAAATGGGATTTGGTCAATTCTTCTGAACTGAGTTTTCTAACCTTCACAACCAGATCTTTATTTGTAACTTGCTGGTCTTCATGTGGTTTCAAATCTCTTAAAGAGTCTTCACTGGTCTCTTCATCTTTTAATCTATGTACGATGGTTTGAACAGTTTTGACCATATTCTTAAGCTCATCTGGGTATGGTGTTGGATATCTCTTTAAATTTCCCTCCTAGAAAAATAAATACAAAAGTTAGAAATATTCCTAATGTCAGCCTCAGGGAATTTAATCTGTAATCCATCTAGCTCATAGGGTTAATCTGAAGACAGATAGTAGGTTGTGAAACCATTTTAGGCTCAGTAAAAAATATGGTTTTTACCACAAAATAGCCAAAAAATTCACAGTAAATTTCAACATAAATGCTTTTTTAGTGGAATTATGTATTTCCTTTTGGGGATTTATGATGGGAATTACTGCCAAAATCTGTGGTCATTTGGCTTTGAATAGTATATTGTAACTCGTAAGTATACTTGTAAAATTCAGACATTAGCTTATGTATCATGAGCATGAACCAAACTCTTACAAGACCAGTCTCTAAATGTTGTTTCCAAGTAGCTTATATAAAAGGTATACAATTACATCTATAAGTAACCTGATAGATATTATTTGCTACTCGTATAATAATACGAGTAACACATGTTCTCAAACATATAAAGCATAAAAATGCTCCGAGTGAAGTTCTTTATCGCTACGACTTATAGAACTCATTAAAGAGAAGGAAGAGAAATCAATTACTAACGCTTAATTTTAAAAGCGCTGACAAAATTCTGGTTAACTTCTTTAGTCCTTAGTAATCTGTTTATATGTGAAAAATTAAAAACTAAAATTAAAATTAGCTTTAAAGACAGTTTACATTGCTCTCAAATTTTTTTGTGAAATATTTTGGATCACTAAGTGTCTTAAGGATAAATAATAAATCCAAAATCTCTCTGTATGCACAAAATACCATAGTACATATGTATGTAACATCAACTTAAATATCAGTCTCAAATTGAGAGAAGAAGCTAACAAACTCACCCTGGGAGGTGCCTCCCTTTCATCTTTGTCTTCATCACATTCAAATGCAACTTGGGCCCGCTGTTTCCTCTGTTCTTCCCATAAGGAAGGATTAAAACTTTCATTATCAGATACGAACATAACTAGAGAAAAGCAAAAAGAAAAAAAAACACCTTATGTTTTACTGTAATTATAAGAAACAATTACTTGCTCATAATCTTCATTAAGACACACTCAGTTAAGTCTAAAACACTTAAAACTCATCAATGCTAGCAGCTAATATGACCTAGGATTAACAACCAGGTTTCCATTTTAGGATTTCTTTACAATGTCAGTGATAATTTTTCTTCTCTGCAGCTGATCTGTCTTTATTTTTTATTAGAAACATTGCTGAAGAGAAATAGCAAATTAAAACACTGTAGATAAAAGGTTTTGTGTAGTACCCTAAATAAACAACGTAGTAATACCGCAGAATACTGTACATACGAATCCTTTCACCCAAGTTTTCCATTTTATCTTTTCTAGTTGGTACTAGAGATCTTTACACTATGCTATTTCCTCAGTTTTTTTTTTTTTTTTCTTTCTTTCAATTCCTCGTTTTAAGATAGGGTCTTGCTAAATCACTACGTTGCCCAGGCTAGGCTTACTACTGTGATCATGCTGTTTTTGCTTCCCAGAGTGCTGGGATTTCAGGAATGTTACCACAATTGGTTAAGTTTCATGGTTTTTCTTAATAGCAATACTTCACCGTGTGTACAGAGTGGATAAAAAATTTGACAGAAAGCCATTTTAGATAAAAAAAAAACCTACCCCAAATAGCATGCAATTACACCTTTGAGTTAAATATGATACAGAATGTAGATTATATTTAGTTAATATGCTTTCTATATCAAGATATAAAAATTATACTCAGTATTTATATATCCTGTTGTCAGATATAATATTAAAAGTATTTAACAACTCTCTTTTTGTTACTTTATTAGGCAATTAAATTATCTGATGTTTAAAATAATTCAGTACAAAATAAAATCACAGCTTTTGCCCATAAAGAAAATGACTATAGTTACTTAAGACAAAAAAACAAAAAAAAACAAAAAAAAAAAACAACAACAAACCAAAAAATTACCTAAAATTAACTAATACAAATACTGAAATCCATAGAATACCCAAATATGGTCAATTTGAACATTTATATAAAAAGCCTAACAGCAAATTATCATTTATAGTAAGTCCTTGATTTCAGCCTCAGTCTTTTTTTAAATCTCCAACCTACAGATGTCATAAAGCAAATAAGAATCTCTGACTTATCTTTTTCCTTGTTTTAGTCAGTCAACTCAGGATTTTTACTTGATTTGCTTTACTGAATTGCTTATCATTTACTTCACAGATTAGACTATTTGTTCAAAACAAATGTGAGATGTGGTTCAAATTCCTATTGACATAGCAGCATAACACCATTTGAAAGGCAAGCTGAACCAAGCAACTTCCAACAAAGACTATTTTTAGAATTCATATTAATTTTCATCATCTCTCTCAGGAAGTTACTTCGCTCACTAGCCCAAGGATTCCTAAGAGTGTTAGATTGTATCAAAGCAATTTTTTAACAATTTATTCAGAACCCTCGTAAATAACTCTGACCATGTCTCTCATTCTTATCAATGTCTGGTCACTCATACTTCTCATTCTTGTATAGTTCTCACATCTTTTTACCTACTCTAGAAGCCATTCAACCTAGGCATACTCACTAATCACCTAGGCACATTCACTAAAGACTCAAACATTTGGCTACCAAGTTTCAAGCTCCAGACCTGTCAGGGTCCTAAATGATGCCATTGTATAATGATTTACTCCCCTAACAACACATTTTATAGTTCCTTGATGTCTTTAATTCCAATGTCCATCTGCACATCACCTAAGGGACTCACGATCACACTCATATTCAAAACCTTGGCTTGCACAAAACTTTTATATCTCTGACCACCAGGTGTGTGGTTCCAAATCATTCACTTCCTATTGCTCATGAACTTTTTTTTTCTCTTTAAAATCCCTCTAGATTTTACTTCTATTAAAAACTCAGATTTTGGGGGCTGGGGGTTTAGCTCAGCGGCATAAGCACCTGCCTTGCAAGCAGACTGAGTTTGATCCCCAGTACTGATAAAAATGAAAAAGACAAAAAACAAAAACAAAAACAAAAACAAAAAAAACCCCTCAAATTTCATGATACAATAATCATTACCACTTCTTCAAATGCCCTTTCCCAAATTCCAGTTTCTTTTACCTCACTGTGCAAAGAAAAGTAATAAAACTCCCACAGTTACTAACATCGTTTTCCCAGTTAAAATTTAATTTATATGGACATATACTTTTCCTTTTGCATGTTTGAGACTAATTCTTCTACATAGGCTCAAATCCTATTCATATTCTATAAATTAATTCATCATTATATACTTTTGAGAGTAAGACAGTCTACATTTAAATATGTAGCTCTAGTATCTTACCTGTCTTTACTAAGTAAAAATAGACTGAAGTAAATGTGAACAGTGTGTGCATTTCTCTCAGTATAAAACTGCATCCAAGAATAATGTTTTATCTAATTAATCTATTTCTTAGAGAAATTGGGATAAAAGTTTCTCTTGCAGTTGGAAGTAAATTCACCTGCTTTACTGTACAAAAGTAGTTTCCTTCCCTTTTTTTTTTTTTATTTTGTCTTTCTGAGACAGGATTTCACTATGCAGTTCAGGCTGGCTTTGAACTCTTTTTTTAATTTCTTTTTGTACAGGAAATCAAACCCAGGACCTTGCACTTCCCAGGCAGGTTCTTGTGCCACTGAGCTATATTCCTGGCCCATGAATTCATTTCGTACCCTAGGCTGGCCTCAAACTCACAGGGATTCCATTTCTCTGTCTCACCCTGAGTGCTGGGATTAAAGGTATGTGCCACTCCAAAAGTAGTTTCTGATTCAGGATTGTGAATGTATTATGTTCTATATTCTGCTTATAAAAAAGTAAGATACTTTAGGTGGCACATGTATTCTAAGAGAAATCAGAATATCCTAATTGTAATCAGAATATCCAACAGAATATATTCATATATTCTGTATATTACATATATTCTGTAAACAGAATATCCAACTGTATTGCTAAACTCCCCATTACAGACCTTTTCATAATAGAACAAATCTCAGAATATACTTCTAGTTAGGTGAGATGGCACGTTTTTGTGATCCTGGCATTCTGGAAGCGAGGCAGGAAGATTGCAAATGTGAGCCCCAGACAACCAATTTATTGAGACCCTTTCTCAAGATAAAAAATAAAAATGGGCTGAGGAGGTAGCTCAGGCAAAGGCCGAGTTGAAAGAAAGAAAGAAAGAGAGAGAGAAAAAAAGAAAGAAAGAAAGAAAGAGAGAGAGAGAGAGAGAGAGAGAGAGAGAGAGAGAGAGAGAGAGAAACAGCAAGTGAGCAAGCAACAGACAGGCAGGAAAAAGAAATTTTTTACCTGAATTATTCCTTTTAAGAAGGAACAGTAAGTGAATAAAGTAAGCTAACAGAATGGTAAAGATGGGCCAGATGGATTTGAATCATGAAAATGGGAAGCAATAAAGGAGATCATGATCAATACAGTCTAAAGGAGTAAGGACAACTTTACTGTCAGGGATCAGATAACAAATATGTTACAGTTCATTGATTTTATTTTATTTTATTTTGAATACTGGGGATTGAACTCACAACCTTGCACTTGCCAGGCAGGCTCTTATGCCACTGAGCTAAATCCCTGGCCCTTAGATAACAAATATTTTACACTTAGTGAGCCAAAAGGCAGCTGTTAACAGTATCTATTTTGGAAGATTATTATAAAGATAAGAAATTATAGATATAAAATGCTTAGTTCTATGTCTGATTCTATCTATTACATCTTATATTTTATGGCAGGTTAAGCAAACAGCTTTGAAATGATTAGACCATAAACATATCACTTGTTTCCATACCTAAAAGCAATTACAAATTCACTTAACTTCTGTAACATTTTGCTTTCTAAGAATACATCTGATTCAAGTTACTGTTTCACAGGTATATGTAGTGACGATCAAGTCTAGCAAAAACTTTAGCTTTTGCATTGAATTTAAACACTCATGAGATATCAAAAGTAAAGAGCTTCATTGGAGCTTTAACAATTTACAAGACTTCTTTTTCATATACTTAAATCCATCTCTAACCTCTATATTTAGTAATATAGTAAAATACAGAAAAAAGCTGTGATAACAAAATATAGTATACCTAATTCTAAACTGTAAGCATTGTAGTACCATCTTGCACAAATAATAATTTTCTACATGAGAAATTAAAACATTAAAAACAAATGTGTAAATTACGCTTATGACACTTATGGAAGTGAAGGGAATTAAAAGCAAATGCGTGGATCCACCAAGAAAAATTTTGTCTGTTTGCCTTATTCACTGGGACTCAAGTCTTAATTTTTCATTTTTATCTGTGAAGACAATTTCTGGACAACAGAGATGATTTCTGGATTAGAGGAAATACCAAGGAAGAGTGAGCATCCTGTAAGTAATAATGCAATGAGCTACACAATATGCTTTTATGTGGAAGGACAAACTGCTAACGTTTAAAATACTTAAAGGCAAAGAAATAGAATTTTTTTTTAGAGACATGAATTTACCTTGGCAAATTATTATTATTGGGGGGAGGCACGATTCCAGGGATCGAACTCATGACCTTGTGCTTGCCAGGCTGGTCCCTGTGCCACTGAGCTATGTCCCCAGCCCTCTCTTGGCAAATTATTACAGAAAATGGGCAACAATGAATGTTTTAGGATTTTTAGACCACAGACTTTCTCCTACCACTCTACCTAGAAACAATCATGGACAATATGTAAATGAGTGAATATGGTTGTGTTCAAATGCAATTGCTAGCCAGACATGGTGACTCATGCCTGTAGTCCCAGCATTTGGGAGTTGAGGTAGGAAAATGGTTACAAGTTCAACGTCAGCCTGGACTACATAGTGAGTTCAAGAAAGCTTGAACTACAAAGCAAGATCCTGTCTCAAAAACAAAAACAAAACTCAAATGGGATTGCTATCCCTGCTTCAAAATAAGGAAGCAAGCTTAAGAACTCACCTAACTAGTCCATAGCATACTTCATAAAGACTAACGACTGATTCGCATTTTTGTCTTCAAAGTTGTACAATAAAGTGAACTCTTTTTTTCTTGGCAGCAGGGTGGGGGTGTTTCTTTGAGACAGTCTTGAGATGTAGTTCAGGCTGACCTTGAACTCATAGTGATCCTGCTGAGTAGTGGTTACAGGAATGCACAATAATGCCCAGCTAACGACTGGGCAACTTATAAACAACTTTAGACCATAGATATTGTCACAGGTGTCAGAATTCATATATATGTATTTTAAGTATAATATAAAAATGTTACACACAGAGTATAACATAACATTAGAAACAATACCTTAGTCTTCATTCTATAATCCCCCCAAAATATTTGTGGCTAGTAGTAAAGAGTGTATTCTTCCTTGTTGGGAAAAATGTAGAAAAAAATGTTAGCAGTAATATTTATAGTCAGAGTTCCATAGATTCCAAGAGCAGTATGAAGTTTGTAATAGAAGTAAACAAAGTGTTTCTTGGCTTAATACATCTCATTATATAATGCAGCATGCATTCCTAACATTTAGCTAAATGTGATTTTAAATAGGGAGAACTACAGTTGATGAAGTTAACAATTGAAAGAAATTAAAGAAGAATATGCTATATTTACACTTGTAAATTTAAGCATCTGTAACCATGTTAACTTATTTTCACATATTTTTAGAGAAATTTTTGACCAATTCAAAGATTCCACTAAATTAGTTTTAAAAAAAACCTTTGAAATTAGTTTGTATTTATTTTAAAAAGAAAAGAAATTCTTGAATTCCTACCATCCTCAGTTCTTGGCTGCTGAGGGAACATGTAGTTAGTAAGCACCATTTTCTGAGTCTCTGAGTCACTTTCTTTTTGAAGAGGTATCAGGGGTTTGGACTAGGAAAAGAAAATAAATTTTAAAAATTTTGACAGCCCTTAAGCAAGTACATATCCAGCAATTACTCTGAATAATTATTCAGGATATAGATGAAGAAAACCAATTTAAGTATGAACCATAACACTTTATACATTCATCTGGGACCATAGAAAAACACAAAGAAATTTAGTTTTTAGTATAAAGGCAAATTCACAGTATATCACAATTATCATGGAAATATGAATAGTTTAAAGAGCTCATCATATACCAAAAATACCTACAATCCAAGAAATTATTCACTGCACAGTGATTTAATTTAAAAAGTTATAAAACATGTCTTTCCAATTTATGTTATTTTGTCCTCTCTAGTATTCCCTTTTGCAAAGATGTTTTTGAAGGAAAAAAAAAAAAAAAAACATTTGGAAGGTTTAGTGTAGTTATCTAAGGGTTTATGGTAGTTAGAAGCTAAAAAAAGAGTGTTTAAAACAATTATTAAGTTGTAACCTGCTTAGCTCTCCTCCCCACTTGTCTCCATTACTGGTACAAACAAATACTTTTGTGAAGCCTTCAGGTATTCTGAAATTCATTTTTCTTGAGACTTCTTTTCTTACTAGTTAATAAATGTTATAAATTTATTTCTTAATATAAAAATTATTTTTTCCAACCTATTCATGTAAATTCCTACCAATAGAAGCCTTCTTGGACTGCAGGCAAATAGAAATCTATCCAATTCTTCCCTCTAATACTATACTAATTCTTTGGAAGTACTCTTGTGAAAACATAATAAGCAGTAAATTCTTCTGATCTTATTCCTTAACTTTTCAAAACTTTGTTCTTGTCCAATAATCTCAAAATTGACTTCCTCAGATAATGGAAGTGGTAACCTCTATTGCTTTCCCTAAGATTGTGTTTGCCTGAACCCCTAACACAGGCTGATTATTATCTATTTATTTAGGAGATAAGGGAAGCATTTACAATGTCCTGAGATTATTACTCCTATTACCCAGAAATTTAAACTTCTGCTCCTTTGAGGTATATAACCCTTTCCTCTAAATTCAATTCCTGTTCTCCTTATCTGTTGATTTCTTGGAAGTAACCATCTACAGGTTGAACATCCCTAATTTAAAGATCTTCAAATATTCCCAAACCATTAATATTTTTTGTGTGCAGACAAGAATTCTCTAAGTGGAAAGTTTCATATCCAACATCATGTGACAAGTCATGGTCGAAATGCACACAATTATTAAAAATATTGTATAACATTACTACCAGGCTTTGTGTAGAAAATATGTATATATGGAACATTAGTAAATTATAGGTTTAGACTTAGATCCCCAAGACATCTATCTTACTCTGTATTTGTAAAAAAGCAAAAATCTGGAAAAAAAACAACCAAAATCTGACATACTTCTAATTCCGAGTATTTTATATAAGCGAAACTCAACCTGTATTCCCATCTCTTTTAGCCAAAATCTTTCAACAGTCATGGGTAATTCAACAAACACAAAATGTAGACAACACAGCTATATTCTTAGTCAAGTGGTTTCTTAGCAAGTGAAAGTCCTTCTCACAGACTTGTGAGAAGGAAAAAAAAGTCTCCTTTAAATGAGAATATCAAAATTATATGAGAGGTATTTAAAGTTTAATCCCCTAGAAAATATTCTAAAATTAACCACCAAGAGCTCTTCACAACTCTGTGAATATACTGAAAATCATACACTTTAATACAAGTGGATTATAGCATAGGAACTATATATTTCAATAAAGGTGTTCTAAAAATAACCTAGTCACCTATTATTTATGGAGTACAAGGATACAGAAAGGAGTTAAGAATTATTTATGGAGACATTGCCTTGAATACTTAACTCTACTGTTCTTTAAACCTATTTAATTTCAGATATTTCACTACTTTTAAGAACATAATCTGTAAGTACTTCTTTAAAATCTGAAATAGCTCATTTAGGAAATATTTACTCAGAGCCTTTGTTATTGAAGCACTATGACAGACCCTGGGTATTGAAGAGAACAAAATAAATATTTTTATTGAGTTTGTAGAGTTTACAGTATGTGAATGGGAAGCTAGGTAACAAAAGATAGTATGCAATTGTGATATAGTGCAATTACAGGGCAGGCAAGGTACAGGGTGCTAAGAGAACACACAGAGGGAAGTATTCACATAGCTTAAATGATTAGGGAAAAAATCCTGGAAAAAAGTATAAGATGAGGAAAAGAAAATACAGCAGGTAAAAAGGCAAAGAATGTTTCAAGAGAGAACTCATTTGGTGAAATGAGACTATAGGTGTAAAGGGTACTGCTGCAGCTACATTCAACCAAGAGTCTTAAGGCATATGATATGAATAAGAAAACTGTGAAAATATTTAAAATAGGTTAATGCTGGGATAAGATGGAAGGTTCTTCAGTTACAGTGAGTCAGATTAGATTTAGGATGCTAAAGGTTTAGAACTGTGGGCAACACTGTAGGCATAGATGACCTGTTGGAAATCTATCTTAATAGTTTAATCAGCATTGTCTATTAGAACTGTAACAAGAGACAAACATTCAAATCATGAATAGTTTGTGATTTTCTACTTTTTTAAAAGGCAAAGGCTGAAGTTAATAAAGCATTTAACTCTAGTCAAATATTATAATTTTAACATGTTATGTGAAATAAAATAAAGCTATAAGGATATAAAAATCCACCATGTTATTTTATTTAATACATTTCAATTTGGATCAATTAAATGACACCAGTGGCTACTTTATATTAGACAGGGCAGGTCTAAATGAAAGATGATGATAGACAGTATTTAAGAAAGCAGCAGTGAAGTGAAATAAACATGAGCTATTGGTGATAAATTGAACTAAATACAGGGATAAACAGAAGTTAAACTACATTTCCATGTCTATGCCTCCATCAAGTACTTTTTACTGAGCTAAATAATCCAGAAAAGAAAGTATTGGGAAGGAAGATGGTATGCTCAATTTTAGGCTGGCTGAATTATCTAGGTGGCAACATTAATAAGGCATTAAGCTACATGAATGAAGTTTGGGTATGAACACTGGGACAAGGATATTGTCTGAAATAATGATATAGAAAATAACTCAGAAGGAAAGTACCACGAAGAGTACTATTACATAAGACACAGAAAGAGGAAATAGTTCTCTAAAAGAGGCTCCAAAGTCAAAGAAAAACCATCAAAGTATGGTACCAGACACAATGCACCTCTCCTATACCACTGCTTGTGCAACACTTGCTGATCACCTTCACCAAGACTGGTACTCCCTTGACCTTTTAACATTCTCTCCATTATTTGGCTCTTGTCCTTGCTTCCCTGTTTACTATACTACATCTTATTTCAACCATTTTCTTGTCAATAAACAATAGCTCCTTTCTGTTTTATCCTTTCCTTACACCTGACTTGGCAAAGACAGTGCAGATCTTCCAACTGTGCGCTTTCTCTTTGTCACACAGCTGAACAAAGTAGAAACAACTTTATACAATACTGATTTATACTTCTGTACTTGAATAGTGATACTAGTAGTACTTCAGAAGGGTTCTTTTCAATGTTGCTTAAAAATCCTTCTGTATTTCCTAAATTATATTCTGAAGATATTACCTTCTTTAAAAACTCTAAAAAATAGAGAATTCAAGAACAGCTACAGTTGAAGGTAATGAGACTAGTATATACAAATCCTGGAAAATACAGCTTTAGATAAATTATTATGAAGTACTGCTTAAAGTCAAAGAGTAAACATTAACTTGTTAATTAAAAAACTTCAACAGATTATATATTCCAAGAACCCTTGCAAATGCTAGTAGCAATGTAAATTAATAGTCATTATGGAAAACAGAATAGAGGGTCCTCAAAACAAAAAATTACTATATGATTCAGCAACCTCACTGCTGGATACATATCCAAAAATATTCAATCAGCATGTCAATAAGATATCTGTGCTCTTGTGTTCACTACAATATTATTCACAATAGTCAAGATAAGAAATCAATCTAAGTGTTCATCAATGGATGACTGAGTAAAGAAAATATGAAATATATACCCATTAAAATATTATTCAGCTTCAACAAGCAAATCCTGTCATTTACAACAATATGAATAAATTATGCTAAGTGAAATGAGCCAGACACAGATGACAAATATAGTATGATGTCATTTACGTGTGGAATCAAAGACAGGAGAACTCATAGAAACTCATAGTGGTTACCAGGAATTGTAGTGGAGAGTGAATCAGGATACAGTGATTAAAGGATAAAAAAATACCGACTAGAGAGGGGGAATAAAAGAATGCTATGGAGCATCATGCTGTCTACAACAGAAAACACCGCATTCTGTGCATGGTGGTGCACATCTGTAATCTCAAAAAGCTGAGGCTAGCGGGATTGTAAGTTTGAGGCCAGTTGGGGCAATTTAGTGAGGCTCTGTCTCAAAAAAAAGGCAGAAATGGGAATGTATTGGTAATGGATGTAACTCTGGGTTAGGGTACTTGTTCAGCATATCTGAGGCCCTGGGTTTACTCTGAGCAAAAATAAAAAATAAGAAAAAAAAAAACAACCCAAACTACAATGACTCAAACTGCATTCTTAAAAACTGCTGCAAGTATATTAAATTATACAATATTGCATCTGACTTTCTAATCTACAGTTTTATAGAGAATAGGCAAGCGCTACAGGATTAACTATTTTTAACCATCTTTGTAAAAAAGAATTATGCTATTTTATACATATATACACACAAAAATGTATACATCAAGAAAAACAAATGTTTTAATGTTAAATTTATTGAGATATCATGTCATTAATATAAGCTACTTTTGGCTTCTATAATTACAAAGATACTCCCAAGTGGTGATCATTAGCTTCCTGACATTATTAGTATGGTAACTGCTTAAGTGTGGACACATCTTTTTTGGCGGACCTCTAAATGGTCCTGTGAAAATTAAGATGCAGAATTACATAACACGAATGAAATTCTAATACATTACAAAATAAGAATGCTCACCTGATTATCTGAGAGCCACATTGCAGTCAACTGTTGCAGCTTTGTAAAGCTAAATGGCAAATTCTTTAATCTGTAGCAAAAAATATAAACAAAAATCAAACAACTCTTTAAAGTGAGTAAAATTTGGAGCTGGAGGTATAGGTCAGTGATAGAGCACTCACTCAGCATGTGGAGGCCAGAATCACAAAAATAAAATTGATAAAAACTAAATCTAACAATCTTCTGAAAAAATGCTATATAATGGTATCACTAACAGCATTAAAGAAAAATTCCAATATAGGTCTTTTTATAGGACACAAAGCAAAATATTAAGTTTTTTAAATATTAACTCCTTAAATGAAACAATATAAATGAAATTTTGGATTATCTAGTAACTTCAAAAATTGTTACAAAAATAACAAATGTTCTTGCCTTACAGAAAAAGGATACATTAAATGATGTCTCATAAAACTGCTATTTTTTATTTGTATGTAGAGTGAACAAATTTTTAGAGATACTTTCTTACAAAAACTGCACTGCTCTGTATTTTTTGAACTTGTGTTTAACCAGTATAATCAATAAGGACTATTTTATAATAAATTTAAAAAGTAAGATAACTGCTTATTAGAATGCTAAGTGAAATAGTACCCTATTTAAAAGTCTAACACAAACTTGCAATCTTAGGCTGCCAACAAGGCTTTAATAAACTAGTGGCTCTTTTTAAGTAAAGTATGTCAGAATACTCTGTTAACCAGTCAAAACAACAGGTTTAATTAAAAGTTCCACCTTACCGCCAACATGAGTCACCATACATAGGAGGGTTAACTTTTTCCTAAAGTGGGAATACCTGTTTTACTATCTCACAGAGTTGTTTCAAAAACCTTGCAAGAGGGGCTGGGGATTTAGCTCAGCAGCATAAACGCCTGCCTTGCAAGCAGGCAGTCGTGAGTTCGATCCCTGGTACGGATAAAAAGGAAAAAGACAAAACAAACAAACAAACAAAAAAAAAAAAAAAAACAAACCCTGCAAGAGAGACATGGTGTTTTATCTTTCTTTTTAGCATTTTTACCTTCAGAAAAGGTATTTAGCAATTTTAATTTTCTTTTACGCATTTTAGTTTGTAGCCTGAGCTTTGTAAGAGAGCATAACTTTGCCAAGAGGAATATAAGAAACACATGAGATTCTAAACCTGTTTTGTTCAATAGCTGTATTAAGGTAAAGATCTGACATCAGGAATAAAAAAGGTTATTATAAGAGAATAATGATGGTATACTAAGTTAACCAAAAATGAATAGCAACCACAGTATGATAATTAACATCAGGTAAGTTAGATCCATTCTATTTAAAAAGGATCTTAAAAATATATATGAAAAGAGGAATAACATTAGGTATTCTGAAACATATCATATGAAACTTTAATTCCATTCAGTCAATATCATCTACAACCAACAGATGAAGATAAGAATTACAAACCTATTGTCACTTAAATTAATGACTTTTAATTTTTGCATATCACCCATTTCCTCTGGAAGTAGCTCAAGTTTATTAGAATGGAGAAACAGCACAGTTACATTTTTCCAATTTCCAATCTGAAACAGAAATACAAATTGGGGATAAAAAATTTGGCCTACAGTTAAATAAACATAATAACATTTAAAAGTTGGGAAAAATTATTCTTTGACTTTATAAAGGAATAAGCTTATTCATTTTTAAATTAATATTCAGGTACAAAGAAAAGATTTAGGTACATGTTCTAACTTAACTATTACTCAGAAAAGAATTATTTTACAAAGAAATCTGGATATCAATAAAGACAACTGGAAAAAGACGAAAAGACAACAATCTGAAACAAATTTAAAGTACTATACCTCTGGGGGTAGCTGCTGTAAGTAATTATGATCTGCAGCAAAAGTTCTTATGTTATTAAGCTGTCCAATAGATGAAGGCAAAGCTTCAATTTCATTGAAACTACAATCCAGTTCTTCTATTGACATTAACCTTTAATTACATGAGAACACATTATTAAAAGCACAATTTCCTTTGTAATAAAAATTTAAGAACATATCAATATCTGACTTGACATTAACAAGCCTAGTGAAACTTTCTAAAACTGGGGCTGGGGATTTAGCTCAGCGGCATAAGCACCTGCCTTGGAAGCAGGCAGTTGTGAGTTCGATCCCTGGTACTGATAAAAAACGAAAAAGACAAAAAAAAAAAAAAAAAAAAAAAAGAAAGAAACTTCCTAAAACTAAATTTCACCCCCTCCTAAAAAAAGCCTAAATTTCACCAAAAGTAAAAAGGAGTGTTACTATGATAAAAATACAGAAACAAGAGACAATATGATAGACAGTGAAGATCTCTGGATATCTTGCTTTGAAATCTCTCTTATATTTTTATCTTATGATCTGCTGTTGTTTAATTTTACTATCTTTTAAAAATAAAATTTAAAAAATACCCATAGGTTTATAAATTACTTGATTAAATATTTGTAAAATTTCCTTTAGACATTATTTATGCAAGTATCTGGAAATATATACACCACACTGGACTAAAAGTAAAATTTTCAATGATCTACATACATACTTCCGCAAAAAACTTACCCTCCTATAGAATCTGGTAGATACATTAATTGATTTTCATCTATTTTAAGAGTTGTGACATTCTTCAGTGAACCTATTGAGAATATACAATTTTAAGCTCAAAGTACACTCAAATCCACAGAATCAATAGAGACACATTACATGTGACAAGAATTGAGTTTACCAACCAACCTTTCTCAAAGAGCCATCACCTCCAAACCCATTCAACTGTTACCTTAACCTACATTTTCAACTTATCTATATGTCACTTTTTAATAGTGCATGTTTGTTTTTATTAACCCTCACTAAAATATGAGCTTCATAAGAAAAGGGACCTTATGTCTGCAGTGCCCACTACTTTAGCCCTTCTCCTATGCCACAGCACAGACAGCTAATGAATTAAGAGATTAAAAAGTGGTAGTTAAGGTTGTTAATAGCTGTATAACAAACTACACTACATATACAAATAATTAACAGTAAAATATTTTAATTCAAAAATTTAAAGTGTTGATTAAATTAGAATGAAGTGGAATTCTAATGAATTTGCAAAATGCAGTTTAAATCAATTATGGAATTCAACTAAGAAAGTAAGTAAAAATATTCTTAAGTTTTCATATTCAAGCATCATAAAGATGACAAGATTTACTTTAGTCTTTTTATCCAAACAATTCCCTTAATAGTTCATCAAATAAGCAACTTCAGAAATACAGGCTGAGTAACTGTAGATCTCTCAGGATTTATTTGATGAGTCTATTTTCTTGTCTATGAATATTAAAAAGGATTGAAAATCAAGGCTATGGTTAAATACTAAAAACAAATCTTTTAAAAAGAGATTATAATTATAAAAAACGAATTTCCATAGTGTATATAAAAAACAGTATCACAGTCAGGTGTGAGATCACATGCCTCTAAAGCAGTGGGCTCTCAAGTTCGAGCCCAGCCTGAGCAACTCAGGAAGAATTTGTCTCAAAATAAAATCTTAAAAAGGTCTAGGAATGTAGCCCAGTGCCTCTGGATTCAATTCCATGATTAAAAAGCAAAATAAAACAAAACAACACACACACACACACACACACACACACACACACACACATACAGTAGCATTACCAAAGGAATAAATAATATAGCTCATCACATAAGGAAAACTTCAACTAAGATTGTTTTTCCATGGTAATATAGTAAAACTATCTTATAACAAACAAAATTTGAGTTTATATGGAAGACTTAAATTTACTTTAATAAAAATTACATAAATTTGAAACCAATACAAACCAATAGTCTCAGGCAGTTGTTGAAGTGAATTGCTTGATAATAGGAGGTCTTGGAGGTTTTCACATGCTGAAATTCCTTCTTCGATCATTTCAATATTATTTTTAGAAACATCCAAATATGTGAGCTGTTTCAAACTACCAATAAACTATAAGTTTAAAAAAATATAATTATCAAGTAATTTATGGAAAGTTTTAAATAACAAATCTAATACATTTTACATAATTAAATGTTTACACAAGAGAATTCAAATGGTTTTTTAAATGCCACACAAAGCTAAGAATTCTTGTAATTTTAGGCTCTCAAAGTGATAAAGGACATATATTTTTCTTTGGGAATTTAGCTCTCCATCATTTTCTACGGAAATAGAATATAAGGGGATTATATGGAGTATATAATTTACCAGCTGATAAAACAGGAAGTTGGCAAAAATTATCTTAGTTTTCTAGGCATTGTGGGGCACAACTGTAACCCCAAGGTTCTGAGAGGCTGAAGCAAAAGAATTCCAAGTTCAAGCCCAGCCTGCGCAACTCAGTCAGATACTATCATTAAAGGACCTAAAGGACTGGGGGTATAGCTCAGTGCGAAGGCCTGGGGTTCAATCTCCAGTACCAAAAAGAACAGACAGACAGAGATGGGCCTGGGCTACACAGCAAGACCCCCTAAAAAATACATATTTTGTTTCTGTTTAATAAGGAATTACATGATCCCTCCCCCTTCTTTTTTGAGACAGGCTGTCACTATGTAGTTTAGGACGGTCGGAAATTATTTTTCTGCCTTAACCTTCTGAATGCTGGGATAACAGGCAGGCACTGCCATGCCTGGCTAAAATCTATTTTCTAACTAATTAAAATACATTGTTCAGCATTTCAAAGGAGAGACAGCAAAAGTGAAGTCATTTAGAATTCCATCTACATACCCCTGGAATAAAAGTCAGTCTATTACCATCCATCCAAAATTCTTTCAATCCACTTAGTTGTTCAAGTACTTCAGGCTAATTGGATAGAAGGGAAAATCCAGTCAATTTATGTGATTAATTACTTAATTAATTATTTGTGAAGTTGTATATTAATCTGGCAAAAGCAGCCCTGAGAATTTCTAATGTTCATCTTTAGTTTCAAAACATTAAATAAAAGAGGAAAAGGGATGGTGATACATAACTAAAATGCAAGCCTTTTCACTGCTTTACAGTTACAATAAGATTAAAGAAGAAATTAAACATAGGCATGCTATAATATGGATTACATAAAATTCATTAAGCTTTGGACTATGCAATATAATCATGTATTATACAGTTCATAAAGATATATCCCATACTCAAAAGTGTACAATTAAACAAGGATCTCATTCATTATCAATAAAAGATATAATCTTTTAGAAAATCTTAGGAAAATTATAAAAGCTGTTGTTCCTGGTGACATTAATAAAGAAACAGTGAAAACGAAACCTCCATCCTAAACCCAGTAATAAGGGAAAGGTAAATGAGGAAAGACATAACCACATGACAACAACATTCAGTGACAAACCCTAGAAGCAATTCTAATTACATAGAGAAAAATTCTTTGTGATGCAGTGTTAAAAGAGCTAAAACTAATCCAAGTGTTATAAATAGTGATATGGAGAGAAAATTTTCTTTTGGCCACTGGCTTTTTGAAGGTAAAGATTTAAACGTCTCCATTGAAGGATTACTGTTAGTGACCATACAATGGCAAAAAGAATTATCACATCTAAGTACCATAATAACACAAAGCATACAGAAAAGTCACGTTATTTAAATTTACTGTTAACATAATAATAGAAGAAAGAATTCCATATATAACTAGGATTAAAAGAAATTTCCTTTTGTGGTTAAACTGTCTTGTGTTTTAATTACACTTAGTTTTTAAAAAATATATAATGCTGAAAGACCAAAATTGTTAAGGTACATACTTTCATGAGAAATAAAAACTGTAAACACAGTGAAATACATCAGATATTATTTTCAGTTTAAACATCACAAAGAATATGAAAGAATATGAAAAGGCAGAGAAAATACACCTCAAGAGTGCCACTATCTTCCACGGACTGCAGCTGAAATACACATTATACTAGCAATACAAATCACTATTGTAACATAGTACTAAGAAATTTTTTATTTTTTCTTAGAAATTCTTTTTATCATTTGAAAGCTGTCACAATTTGAAGACCAAAAGTAAAATTTAAATTTGTAATTTTAAAAATTTTAACTTGAAACTTCAATTCTGGCCAGGCCAGACTTGGTGGGGCATGCCTGTGATCCCAGCACTCAGTGGGCTGAGGCAGGAGAATTAGCATAGGTTCAAACCAGCCTGGCTATACAGTGAATTCAAGGCCAGCCTAAACTAGTGAGACTCTGTTCCCCTCTTCAAAAAATTCTGGTCAGGCATGATACATGCTTATAATCACAGAACTGCAAAAACTAAGGCAGGAGGAGTGCCATATGTTCGAGACCCGCTTGAACTACACAGAGAATTCAAGACCAGCCCTGCATATACTCCCATTTTTTTAGATGGACCATCAAACTGCTCTTTGCGTACAAAGCATAAACCCAATTGATGAGTGTGAATACAAACTCAAAACTACCTGTTGTTTCATTCCATGATTTTTCCTTTTAGCTGTTAAGTGTAATTATAGAGAAGTATCTTATCACTGAATATAATTCACAAACTACAACACTAGTAGTGATGTGGAACTGTGTTACCTCAGATGTATGTATGTATGTGTGTATATTTTTGTTGTTTTGTTTGCTTTGAAGAAGGTCTCCCTATGAAGTACAGGCTGGTCTTGAACGTACAGAGATCCTCCTGCCTCAGCCTCTCAAGTGATGGGGTTACAGGCGTGCACTACACCCACCTCTGCTGCATTCTAAATGAAGTTTTTCACCTATAATCTATCAAACTTTGGTTCCTCGGCTAAAAAGCCTCTAGGTATCTCATCACTGAACTTCTCATTTATTTTATAGTATCTCCCTCTGTCAGATTTTCCTAGTTAGTTTTTATACTGGTCCAGAAATTCAGATTAAGAACCTTTTACATTATATACGTCAAAACAGTATAAACCTTAACCAAAATTCTAAGAAAAATTCTACCATTTTCACATTTTGTGTTTGCTCATATACAAAACTTGTGACTAATGAATTTGGTGAGAACTTACCACTTCTGAGAATTCGTTACTTCCCAAATCTAGTCTTTCCAGCTGGGTCAGTCTGTTCATGGTTCTATTTACAATGGAATAATAAAGAATTAACTACATAAAAGTATTGCAAAGCAGCTTTCAAAATACACAGTTTTAAAAAATGCATTTATGTAATGAAGTATACAAGTTTTCACACAGACAAAAATGTTAAGAGAAATATTATATAAAATGAATTATCAGGCTGGGGATTTAGCTCAGTGGCATAAGCACCTGCCTGGCAAGCGCAAGGTCCTCAGTTCAATCCCCAGTGCAAAAATAAAAAGATTTATCAATTATTTACTAATTTTGACTTCTGGTCAGTCTTCTAATTTTTATTCTTAAGCAACTGTAATAGTTATACCCAAAGGCTAGAATATGAACTGTGGGATTTTCTTTTTTTTTTTATTAGAACAAATTTTTATATGGTTTAAGTCAGATAATGAGTTAAGACACCCGAGGCTTTTTCAATACGATTCATGTATTATAAAATTTCGAGATAAATGTAACTCTGAAAATTTAAAAAATGCTAAAAACAGTAAATGTAAGCTGACTGTGGTGGCACATGCCTGCAATACTAGCACCTGGGAGGCTGATGCAAGAGAGCTGCCTCAAGTTCCAGGCCAGTCTAAGCTACACAGTAAGCTCAAGGACAGTCTGCTACATAGTGAGATCCTGTTGCAAAACAAAACAATGAAACCAGTAAATGTTATATTGTTCTTTATATAGTCAGTTAAATCTTGTAATATTCAAAAAAGTTTTGAAATTCACAAATAAAATTATATATTTTAAATTAAAGCAATAATATACCATTTTAAACATCCCACTTAATATCAGTACTTCCCTGTAATGAGAACCAGAAAAAAATGAACTTGTTTGGTAATGAAATAAATCACATTGTACTTTCTTCTTCAACAAAAATAACATTTAAAAACTAATTAATTCAAATGGTTTACCTATGCTCTTAAACTGCTATTTTTAGAAAAATCTATTACTTAATACATTGATACTAAGTACCCAGATAAGAAATTGTACACAAATAACTTTATTAAGAAATGATGAAATATATTTTGCTAGCATGTTACATTCCTATGTTACTATTTTGCAAATGAATTTCATACAAAATGCAAGATCACCTTAAATCATGACAAAAGAAAACAAATTATTTCTGAATATTTAGCAAATTAGAAGTAAAATAAAACTTGGGGCTGGGGATTTAGCTCAGCGGCATAAGCGCCTGCCTTGCAAGCAGGCAGTTGTGAGTTCGACCCCTGGTACCGATAAAAATGAAAAAGATAAAAAAAAAAAGAAAAAAATCATAGAAGTAAAATAAAACTCGAAACATTTCTCCAGCTTTTTTTTTTTAAGATGGAACATTTCACAGATTTGCATGTCACAGTTGGCAGGGCCTTCTGTATTGTTGCAATATTAATATGTATATGTGCTGTTAAAAGTGAGAGCTCTCCATTTTTTTCAAGAAAACAATGTAAGGACATACTTCATGGGAGAAAACTAAAAGAGCAAAGCAATAATACATCTCTCTTGGTTTAATACTGCTATAATGACAAGAAAATTCACACATAGTAATTAAACACATAATAACAATGGGAGCAATTTATAAAAATAAAGCTAGTAATTTTAGGTGAGGACACAAAAATGAAAAGCAACATATTTTTACAAGTTCAATTACAGAGTCCTAGAAAAGTTTTTTTTTAAATAAAAGATTTAGGAGCTGAGTGTAGCAGTGCACACATGTAACCCTAGCACACAAAAAGCTGAGTGAGGCAAAAGGATCAGTATTAGTTCAAGGCCAGCCTAGGATACAAAATAAGTCCAAAGTCAGCCTGCACTACACAGTGAGATCCTGCCTCAAAAAAGAAAAGAGACAAGAAAAATTTAGGAAAATGTGAATCACACAGATATATAATAGAGAAGAGGAAATAATACTGTATAACAACAAAACATTTTCTCTTCAATTCTTGGTACCTAATATCGGCAACTTTGGTTCTACTGTACTTCAGAAATCTCAGAGGTACAATTTCATCTTAGAATAAGATCGAGCATCCTAATTAAAGGAGAAAATACCAACAGTATCTCTCCTAAAAACCATTATCAAAGACTCTGTTATGTCTACATATATGCAACACGAAAAGTATTTCTACATAAAAACTGTTTCGATTACTTATTACCACCTAAGAGTGGAAAAATCCAAGTGCTAACTAGTGATGGATAAATAAAATGTTAGCTCCATATAATGAAAATACAAACCCATCAATTTGTACTGATAATGCTGCAACAGCTTAGATGAATTATATAAATGAAAGAATGCAGTCATAAACCACCAAATATTTTATAATCCTAATTAAATTATGAGGTGTCAAGAATATGTAAATCGGTAATCAGAAAGCAGGTCAGTGGTTGTTTAGGGCTGGTGTGGTTTGATGGGAAGGCAGGGTTACTAATTCACTGGAATTTTTGAGACTTTAAAAAGTTCTCAAATTGGATAATGATAATAGTTTTATAACCTTATGAATATAATTCTATAAAGCAATTGAATTGTACACTTTAAATGGGTAAACTGTTGGGTGTGGTGGCAATGTCTGTAATCCCCAGCACCTGAAAGGCTGAGACATGACGATTGCTGCTGGGAGCCACTGAAGCTGGAAATTGACCACATGTGCAAGGCTGAAGCATGACCATTCCAAGAACAAACAGCACCTGGGGCAAGCCACCTGAAGAATGTGCTTCAGGCCAAGAGAACACTTAGCCCCAAGACAATCTGAACAGTGGGTTACCAGGACAACAGGTGTCCTGTAACATTAAGTTGCAAAACCCCTGCAATAAGGCTAGTGCCTTCCTCCCATCAGGAGGATTAGGGCTCTACCTGACCCCAGCTTTCTTTTTTTTGGTCTTTTCGTTTTTATCGGTACCAGGGATCGAACTCATGACCGCACACTTGCAAGGAAGGCGCTTATGCCGCTGAGCTAAATCCCGAGCCCATTTTCTTATTTTTCTCATCCTCTCATGGTCCTTAACCCCAAGAACCTCAGGAGCCACACGGGTTGTGGCAGATTGCCACAAATTCGAGGCCAGCCTGGGCTACATAGTGAGTTCAAGGCCAGGCCAAACTATATAGCAAGACCCTGTCTCAAAATATCAAAATTAAAAAAGAGTAATACAAATTGTATGTTATGTGAATTGTAGCTCAATGAAGTCATTTTAAAAGCAAAACAAAGTTTAAAAAACTAGGCTCTCAAAAACAAAACAAAAAAGAAGTATCTCTTAAATATCCACCCATCTACCTCTAAAATTTATTTGTATCTAATTTTTCTCCTGTCTCACAAAAAAGACTACACCATTGTTTGTGTTCTCAGCACATCACCCTCCAGAATTCCTAAGGTACTATCAAGTTTTGCTTAACTATGTAAAACAATAGCTCTCTTCATTGTTCTAATCTTTGATCATTAAATAGTCTAAGAATGCAATCTGAAATACATGACTTTCCTAATATTGAAAGCTGTTTGCATGTTTATAGTTGGTAATAACTATAGGTTAAAGATTTTAGTTATAGATCTTAGAATTATATTTGAAAATTCATTGATAGGACTCAAGTTAAAACTCTGAAACAAATTATATCTTTTTTTTTTTTCCTCTGTCATTTTGAGATAGGGTCTCATTATGCAGTTCAGACTGGCCTTGACCTCACTTTGTAGCCCAGGCTTGCCTCGAACTTAACAGTGATTCTCCTGCCTCGGCCTCTTGAGTGCTGGGATTACAGACATGTGCCACCATGCTTAGTTTAACAAATTATATCTTGGTTACTGAAATATCTTAAAAACCAGTCAAGGTTTGGACAAGTGACATACAAAATCAGATAGATACATTTTGGCCTTTATTCACACTTTTGGTTTTCACATCAGAGAAATAATGCAGTATTACACATGTGTATAATAGATATTGTAAAACAGGAAAAAAATGTTTAAAGGGGAACTAGAGAGGAGGGAGGGGGAAGGAAGGAAGAGAAAGGAAAAAAGGAGCAAAGGAGACAATGGAGACAATGTTTTTGTAAATGAGAGGAAGAGGGGTTGAAGGAAGTATAGAGGATTGGGGGAAAAAAAAGACAAGATATATCATGTACAGGTAAAAATTTCCTATTATAAATACAATCATTATGTATACCTAAAATGCACCAATAAATTTAATTTTAAAAATAGATACAATAAAATTATGTGGAAAATACACTAACAGATGTAAGTAAATACACTGCCATAGAAGCTGAGTACAAAGAACTAATTAACCTCTAGGATAATTAGAGATCCTCAATTTCACTGTTCAACAAATAATTAAGTCTGAATGATCAATGTTACATAAGAGTTGGGGGGAAAAAAAAAAGAGTGGGCAGAACCAGGCATGGTGGTACACGCCTATAATCCCAGCACTCGGGGCTGAGATTGAAGGACAGCTGTACAGAAGGGCCACCATGGGTTATATGAATTCAAGGCCAGCCTGAACTATATGTAACAAGACCATATCTTTTAAAAAAAAGGTTTTTTTCTAAAGAGGATTAAAGAATAAATATCTTAGGTTTTGTGGGCCATACAGTCTCTTGTCACAATTATTCACCCCTACTAATATAAAGCAAAAGCACCCAAAGGCAGTATGTATATGAATGAATAGACTGAGTTCCAACGGTACTTTGTCAGTATGGGCAGTGGGCCACAATGATTCATAGGCCATAGTTTGTCAACCCTTAAACTTTAAAAATACAGAAACATGTAACATATGCAAGGTGTTTTACGATATTTGTTCAATGAATGATCAAAAGCTATCCTAAATGAGTCTGAAGCCCTACTTTTTTTCTGTAGGTTTATTTTATCTGCTCTTAGACTGACAACTCTTAATCTTAGATGTCATTAAGACGACAGATCACTCCATTTCTAATGTACATTACAAAGTCAGACAAATTCTATAGTAATCAGGTTCACATAAAGACCTATGGATATCTTTATTGAGCGATGTGTATAAGATCTAGTATGTAAACTTGGGAACCATATTTGGGACTCAGATTGGCTTTAATGCTTATTGGACCGACTTCTGGTTTCCACAAAAGACTGTATTCCACAGAGCTATGGCCTATGACCATACCACCCTGAATATTCAGAGAGCTATGAAATTATTATAGAGAGCTAAATTAGGTAGAAATTAATAGGTAGCAGACATAGACAAGTCCTCAAGCAAGTCAGTGCAGAAGATGAGAACACAGCAAAACTACAGCTGAGGTGCATTTGAAAGCAAGACCTCAAAGTCACAATGGCCAGACTTCTGTCCACAGTTCCTTAAGGAATAAACACAACTGGAAATTACTACTGTGCTGTGCTTAATATCACCCAGTTCATTAAGTCCAGATAGCATTCAGAACACATGAAGCCATCTCTCCCTAAAATGTTCCTGTTTTAGAAGTCACAAATAAGTCAAGATTCATGATGTTAGCCTTATACCCTTCCTATATGCCCTACTTTCCTACTGAATCAAGATTAGCTATGTGGGGGAGGGGGGATTAGCTATGTGGCTAACTTGTAGCCTTACAAGTTGATCACAGTTTTGATACAAGTTATGCCCACATTGTGACTCTGCAGTATAAATTACCCCTGACAAAGGGCCTCAGTGGCCTTCCATTTGGGATCCCTCCTGTGTCTCAGGTGCTGCTCTTATTCCCCAATAAACCTTTCCAACTTTTAACCTCCTTTATCCTTTGGTTTTCATTCTTTGCAGGGCACAGTAACAGCACAGTTGACATCTAGCAAGCTAGGAGCTACATTTCTCATATCAAATTTACTATTACTATAGTATTAAGTTAAATACCAATACCACCTACCTATATTTTTATATTACTATCAGGAATTAAAATAGTACGATCACAAGTCTTTAAAAATAATTTGCACTCATGTTTTAGATAATTAAAATGTAACACTTTTAAAGTTTTAAGAATTAAAATTTTTTTAATTCTGAAAAAGTATATTTACTTACTTAGGCAACATTTTCAACTGGTTTTCTCTAAGTTCTAATATCTGGAGTTTAGTTAATCTGCAAAACAAAGAAGAAAATACAAAAGACAAGACAAGAAATTTGTTAAATTGATGCCACACTCTAAGGTTTTTAAACAACGGATATTAACTGCATAATTACTATGTGGAAAGTAATATATTAACTACTGTGCAGAAATAGAAAAAAGCATAAGGACTTTTCTACTCAGAATTACAGTGAGGGAAAAAGGTAAGCCTCCTAGACATATATTTTTTTAAAGCAACAAAGTAATGTTCTAAGTATCAATCCTAGAGCATATTTCATTACTTTTACTGCAAATACCCACAAAAATAGCTTACTGTTATAGAATAAAGGACCATATTGCAATTCTAGAGTACAGCTTTGAGAAAAGATAAGTAAGGGAACATAAAGGACATGGGAGGAGAAATACTCTAGCTCTTCAGTGACATACATTTTACTATAAAGTAGAAAATAATTAGATCAAGTGATGTGAATGCCAGATATAGAGGAGTAACCCTAACAAGTATACAAATTATTTCAGATAAAAAGCTATAAAATTAAATTTTAATTGCCTGGCATTTTCTCTAATAATAATATTATATCAATTCAGTAATAATTTGGTTTTTCTTATTCATTCATCTGTTTTAAAAAACTACTCAGAACCTTGGAAGAGATGGGTATAAAAGGATTTGGTAGATGCCAGAAAACAGTTTCTTTGTTCTCAAGAATTTTTAATCCAGTGTGCAACACAGCTAAACCAATTGTTAAATCAATTTAGAATTTGATAAATGCAAAGTATTTAGCACTTAGTATCTCAACTATACAGATAACCATTAAAATCTTCTGTTCTACCACTTTAAAAATGAACTTTTCTTCCCCCTTTAAACACTGTTTGTCTGGTTTTTTTTCTTTTAAATTCTTACTGTTAATTGTTTACTTGGGAAGATACACTCAAAGGGAAAATAACAAGCTCCAAAGAAACTAAAAATCACAATGCTTGGAAATAATTAGCAAACAACATAGAAAGTAAGTAATAGTATTACTAAAGTGCTTATAGTTTTGTAAACTTTCTAAACGCAAACAATAAATGATTTTAGAAAAAAAACTGTAATTTACCTGCCAAAATTAGCTGGTAAGAACTCAAGGAAAGCATCATTCAGATATAACTGGGTTAGATTTAACAGCTGAGAAAAACCATCAGGGAGCCTATATAAAATACACCAAAATTTAAATTAAGTTCATGTACAGAATTTTAGTCTTTTACTAAAACCTTTCCAATAATCTATGCAATCAAGACATTTTCTTAATTAAAAGTTACCTCTTTTATTAATGACCTTCAAATTAAGACGCGCCTTTTGCTATAAACTGTTTCAGTATCTATAATGTCAACTTTTTTTAAAAAGTGAGGTAATATTTATCTGAGCAACCAAAGCTGTGCAAAACAGTTAATTAAGAATGTGTCATCTTTCATATTCATCTTATCTAACATCAACTTAAAGAACTAGATAAAGAAGTTATAAACCTTAGCAAAAATATTTTGATCTGATTCTTTGCTGGGAAAGTCTTGTGCACTAGGATGTTTAGCTGCAACCCTGGCCTCTACCAACTAGATGTTAGTAGTGTGAGAGGCACATCTCATTGTTTTTTGAAACCAAAACTGTCTCCAAATATTGCCAATGTCCCCATAGGCAAAATAGCCTCAGCTTGAGACCCACTGGCTTAGGTTATTTTTAATTTCAATATTTGGCTTCTAAGTAATGAAGATTGTACAGTTTTTTAATGAGCAAGTATGAAATAATATAAAAAGCTAAATGGTATTTAAGGCCATATGAATATGTGTATGTATTAGCATTATTTCTATTCCTTCTTGCTTATGAAACAAGTTACAGATGTAGACCTTGATACTTAGTATATTTTCAAATGGAGAGAACAAAGCATCTTTACATGTGTATCCTAAATTTTAACAAGTATAAAACCCTCATGCAACTGAGACAAATCAAACTTGAATACATTTTATTTTTTCCTTAGCCTTATATTCTACCATTATACACTCCAAATGAAGCAACTGTAGATCTGGAAAAGTTAGTCAAGATCTATAATATTACAATATGTGAAAGTGGGTTTCAAGTTTACACTATACTATTTTTTATCTTTAGCTTTATGATTCCATTTTAGTAAAATTTAGTAACTTTGTTGACAGCCATTACTGACATAAAAGAACATACATAACCTCTAGCAATATGCTGCAAACAATCACATGTTTATTTTGTTCTGCTGTTTTACCTGTCTGACCTTTCAGTTTCTTTTATTATTTCAAAAATCTATGCCATTGTGCAAATACCAATTAGTGAAGAAACCAAATAGATTCTACTTTTTTTTATGGGGGGGAGTCACTATTATAGTTCAGGCCGGCCTTTTTTTCGTTTTCGTTTTTATCGGTACCAGGGATCGAACTCACGACAGCCCGCTTGCAAGGCAGGCGCTTATGCCGCTGAGCTAAATCCCCAGCCCCTAGGCCGGCCTTTTTAACTCACTATGTAGCTCAGGCTAGCCTTGAACTCAGTGATCCTTGTGCCCTCAGCTTCCCAAGTATTTGAAATATAGATGTGCACCAGCATGCCTGGCTGTACTCTCTTCTTTTTTGAGGTGGGTGGAGTAGTAGGGGGTACCAAGAATCTAACTCAGGACTTTGTGCTTGCCAGGTAGGCACTCTTTTCATTTTTGACATCAACTATCTGAGATCTGGAGTAAAATCATTTATATTCCTGGGCGTGGTAGCACAACTCTGTCCCAACACTCTGGGACACTGAGGCAGGAAGACTACAAATTCAACTCCAGCCCAGACAATTTAACAAAACTTTGCCTCACAATGCAAAAAAACAAAACAAAACAAAACAAAATATATATATATACACACACACATATATATATATATATATATACACATATATATGTGTATATATATGTATCTTTTACTTTTCAATCTTGTAATATATAGAATTAAAAGCATTTTTAAAAGGTTCCTTTTAAAAAACTTACTTTGTATCATTATTGAAGTCTGACTGACTGATTTGTGGTACTAGGGATTGAACCCAGGGCTTTACACAACCTAGGCAAGCACACTACTGCTGAGCTACATGCCCAGCCCAAAGGTTTCTTATTAATTCTAAAAGTCAATTATTTGTATAGTTTATGAATGATACAAATTTTTCATTAAAATATGTAAAGTAGTATTCTGATGCTGCTTTACAATTGTTTTATTAAGAAAAGTAACTTACAATTCAACTGAAAACTTACTTGGAAATAGGGTTTACACTGGCTTCCACAACTGTCAAGACTTTACAGTTTTTTATATTTTCTGGGAACTCTTGTATTCCTAGAAAACAAAAGTGATCAAATTAAAAGAATGGCAAAAAAAAAACACCCCAGTATCAATTATAATTAAGGGATACCCTGCAACTTCAGAAAGTAATTTACCAACAGCAGGAGCTAGAAAAACTAATCACCAAACCAAACTAAATGGAACAATTCAAAACAATTTTTCACTTCTGATTTATATTTTTGCCTCTATTGCTACGAATTACTTTGGTTTATCTTCCTTTCTTTCGTGTTTTAGCTCTTCTGAAAATTGGTATCTTCTCTATGATGACAAGGGCACAAATGCAGAACTTTTAACATTCTGTTTCTCTCACATAAAAAGGATTGCTTTAAAAAGGCAATTTTAAAATGCTGGGCTCCAGCCTGAGTCAGCCCTGAATACAGATTAACCAGCAAAGCTAAAAACAAAGATACAAATAGAAGTGGCGGAAAATCTGAATCAGATATTCCCAGAAGCGTGCCTGAAGCCAGTATTGTCTACCAATAATTAACATTTTTTCTTACCTATACCTCTCTCTTTTCCAATTTGTTTTACATTATTCTCTTCTCAATTTTTTTCTTCACATAACCCAGCAGAATGCCCACAATAAACTGCCTTACAAATGCAGTGATTTCTGTACATTATGATGTATATATTCAAGAGATCTACTGGACATTTCACCTTTTAAGTGTCCATCTATACAAGTGCTTTCCAAACCAAGTAGAGTTAGGATTAATTTTTTTTTAAATTTCCAACCTGCTGTAGCCCAATACATTTGCAAACTGTGATATAATTATTGTGATAATGTCAAATTTTGGTAAAAGACTTTAAGCACATACTCATCTTCTAAACTTATCACAGCAAAAATATAGTAACAATTTATGACTTAGTACCAGTCTGAAGATCAACTTGACGTAGGACTAGTCTAATCAGACTAGAAATAAAACTACTCAAGAAATAATTTATAGAAAAAGACCCTAACAGGGTTGTTCATAAACAGTTATTTAAGACCTTTTCAACTCCACCACTAGATAATTTTAAGCAAGTGAGTTATCACAATGCTGTGTATATAAATGAAAAATGAAAGGTATAAATTTACCAGCTAGTCAATACAACAGTATAACCATTTTGGTCAAAATTTACCAAAGGGCTGGGTGTGCAGCTACATGGTAGAATAAGTATATGCTTAAACATGGACAAATTCTTAACACCAAAAACAAAACCAATACCACAAAAAGTCCGCCAACGGAAACCAAAATTACTGGGTAAAAAGTATGATAAACAATTTACTAACAAAGTCTCAAAGATTCCTCCATAAAATATTTTTCAATTAAAGGAAAAATTAACAATTTGAAAAGCACTTACTTTAAACAAAATGCTTCGAAGTCAGCACTACTGTACTATTTTGATTTTTTTTTTTTTAGGTACCTCAAACTCAAAGTATCTCAAATGGAAGTTATCTACCCTGTATATACAAGATACACATCAAGTATCAGACATTATGCCATAATTCTGTTAACCATTAAGATACAGATCTAAGGCCAAAATGCCACAAAGGAAGGGCCATGGCAGAGAAAAGCAACACAATTCACAGCCGAGAAATCAAAAGGAAGATGTAATGGCTGATTGACTGTCAACTTCAGAAGTTTAAAAGCTTAACCACACTCAGCAATTCTATAGCCTAGGGTATCCGTCCTGGATGGTATAAGGGGAAATGAGGAAAGACAGACGTGCTTCTGTTCTTTAGAGGTGCTCTAGTCTTAGCCTTCAGCTTGGAATTCATTTCCTGGCTTCTAGTGAAGATTGTCTGGCTTCCACCTTAGATCCTTCAGCCCTTCTTTGCAGACTTGTCAATCTTCTAATACAGACTTGCACAGAACAGTGCAGTGAACGCTAAATGTTGGACTGAATTCTTCTGTTACCAGCATGCAGACTCCTCTACACACTATCTCACCCAACTCTGTGGATGACCATAAGCCAATCTTGTAATTTCTTAAAACATTTGTATATCTTGTGTTATAGTAAAACACTGACTGATACAGAAGAGAAGGGAACAATATATACTTTGAGATTATGCATCCACTGAACCAATTACTCCCATCAAGCCCCACTTCTCTCTTTTTTTTTTTGGTACCGGAGATCGAACTCACGACTGCATGCTTGCAAGGAAGGCGGTTATGCCGCTGATCTAAATCCCCAGCCCCTCTCTCTTTTTTTAAATGAACAATATATTTCCAAAGAAAAATGATTATGTAAGAACTACTATAAGAGGGACTGGGGATTTAGCTCTGCAGCATAAGCGCCTGCCTTGCAAACGTGCAGTAGTGAGTTCAATGCCCAGTACCAAAAAAAAGAACTACTGTAAGAATTATTCTTATTACACAGGTAATTTGGAAAGATCCTACCTTGTAAAGGCACACTCAGTTACGATTAATCCACTGATGAATAGAGAGCCCCCACGACCTAATCAATTTCTGAAAGTCCCACTTCTGAGTATTTGAGACTATTGGGGATGTTTTGGATATGTACTGAAATACAAGTAGTCTACAAAGATGGTTCCTTTTGTCTTTCCTAAAGAACATGGACATAAATTTTATCACAATCTACTTCTTAATTCTCTAACAATTTCGAATGTTGTACAAACTTAAAATGAAGCACTAGATACTATAAAACATGGCTATTTTCATATCCTTCTCATTAGAAAATAACTCTTTAATTCTGATAAACTGAAAATAATTCCTGATCTCTTTGAACTGGCCTAATAGTATCAGCTAATCTTTGGTCCTGCTACAAACCAGCCTGGAATTCAGAGTGAGACCTTAGACTTATGATGAACTGAACTATTTCACAAAACATCAATACTAAACTAGGCTATTCTGTCAGTGTGATGTATCAAGATCAGAAAAAAAAATTATAATCATTTTTTAATCAAAGCCAAAGCACAATCATTATCCAAGCCCAAAACACTTCAAACATCTGTTTCTTTCAACTAAAATGATCACTGTATCTTAACAAATTATAGTTTTTGGTCTTTTTGTAATCTGCTCTTTCTACATTTAAGATTTAAGGTATCTAAGCAAAGAATGTCCCTGCTTCATACCACCTCTCCTGAACAAACTTACAAACAGTATTTTTCATATGTAACCCAAAATTATCAAATGCCCAAATCCTGTAAGTTAAAAAAAAAAAAAAAAACCTCCAAGATTCATAGGAATTCTTGCTCACAGGTTTTTGTTCACTGCAAAGAGTAATAAGCCCAAACCATTGGGCTTAACTGAGTGTGAGTTATTCTGCTCTTTGCCTGCAGGGAATAAACTCCCCAGTGTCCTAATTGTCGAATTTAAACTAATAGTCCGTTACTGTTTCTGCATCTAAAGACAGTGACAACAACACTACAGAACATTGGGTCCCAGTCAAAATGGTGTAGCCCAGGAATTAAAAATTAATCAAGTGATTAATTTTTAGAGAATACATATATGACTCAGGGCAGCTGTAACACAATGAATAAGACAAAGTTGACTCCAAAGCCCAATAGTTGCACACCCCAGTTAAAGTCTGTATTAAAACACTTCACAATGACCACAGATAACAAGTCAAAACATTAAGTTCCATGTCAGTGTACAACATGACTAGGCTCAGTGCTCACTATAAAGCAAATGAAACAGTAAGAGCAAAACACAGTGTTTTCCCCAGCCACATGTAACACTCTCTTAATCAATGCAACTTCTTGGATTTTAAAGAGAAAAGGCTTTTCCAAAAGTATCCCAAACCATCACATTTTTTCAAGTTCAAAGACTTGTCGTCTGCTTTGGCCACAAACTTTTAGTTCACTCTTCCTTAAAAGGAAAGGCCAGCTCGGTGTGGTGGCATATCTAAGGACTCAGGAAGCTGAGGCATGTGAATGGCTGCTGAGTTCAAGCCGGCCTACAATACACAGTGAGTTCAAGGGAATATAGTGAGATCGAGTTGAAAAAGCCTAAAATTATATAAACAAATGGAAAGGCTTTGGTTAACCTCTAACACTCCCATATCAGATTAGGACTGCTCTTTCTGGTTTCTCTTACAATTCTTGTATTAACAATTATGTAGTCTTTATTTCTTTCATCTCCCCTCACCACAAGCTTTCTATAAGTTGCTCTGACAGAACAGGTTAAGCATCATTCCTGTAAGTCTTTTCTAGAAGATAGGCCATATAAATACCCTGAATAGCCAAAGTATTATTGAAAAAAAAGATCAAGGCTGCAGGAATCATAGTTCATAACTTCATGTGGATCACCACTGAGTTCTAGGCCAGACTGGGCTACACTGTGAAACTATCACACAAAAAAGTAAGTAAGTAAGTAAATAAATAAATTTTTAAAAACCACAAGGGAAAAGGGCCTATCGCACTTTGAAGCATGGGAGTGGTATAGATAATAATTTTTTTGAAAATAAGTAGCACACCAAAAGCACAGGCAAGAAAAGCAAAAATAGTCAGATTATGTAAAACAAAAACTTCTCACAACTAAGCAAAAAGAATAAAAAGATAACCTGAATGGGAGAAAATGTTGGTAAGCCGGTATGTTAGGAGGGGTTAATATCTAAACTATAAGGTAATCAACACCAGAAAACTCTATTTTAAAATGGACAAAGTATCTGAATGGTATTTCTCAAAAGAAGACCAACAGTCAAAGTTATATGAAAAAATGCTCAACATGGTTAATTACCAGAAAAATGTAAATTAAATATAATAGCACAGTAAGATATCATTTTGAATCTTAGAATGCAAATAGAGAAGTGCGCACATACAGCTCAACGATAAGAGTGTGCCTAGTACCTCTGAAGCCCTGGGTTCAATCTCCAGTAAAGTCATGGAAGGAAGGAAGTGGGGAGGGGAAGGAAGTGGAAGGGTACAGGGAAGAGGAAGAAAGGAGAAAGGAGAGAGAAGAGAGGGTGAGCAGAAGCACAAGCGAGCTAAAAGATAACAAGTATCAGTAAAGATGTAGAGAAGGGAATCAGACACCATTGATGGGAATGTGATTTATATAGTACAGTCACTATGGAAAATAGTGTGGAGGTACCTTTTTTAAAAGTTAACAACAGAACTACCATATGATTCAACAATTCCACTACTGGGTATATATCCAAAGGAAATTAAATCAATTAAGAAGTATCTGGGGGCTGTGGATGTAGTTCAGTGATAGAACACTTGCCTAGTATGTGTAAGAACCTAGAATAGGAAAATCCTGTCATCTGTGACAACATGTATGATTTTGGAAGACACTATGTTAAGTAAACTAAAGGACAAATTTGCACAGAATCTTCAGAAGACAAACTCAAAAGAGGGAGTGAAATAGTGATTAAGGGGAAATGGGTTGGAGGACTGGAGTATTTTCAACAAGAAGTACAAAAATTTGGGTTAGATCTTAAGAGTAAGTTCAAGAGATTTACTGTACAACTTGATGACTGCAGATCAAAATGGATTTAAAAAGTTAACATTTATTTTTCACCTCTTTTAAGCTATCACAGATTTCACATTTACACAAATTCCAAGCCAAAACTGTAACATTAAATTTTACTAAATTTGAGATAAAACAAGATGGAAAGTCTTTTCATTTATGTAAAAAAATTCACTCTCAGATAAAACTAATATAAAACAATATAATCTGACTTTAATTTTATATTTTTATTTATGAAAACAATAGAAATCTTAATTAAACATGTTCCCAAGTGGAGCATGGGGCTTACCATTTTTGCTGACATCCAGTTCCCTGAGATTAATAAGATTTGCAATGGATGCTGGTAATGCTGTTAAATCATTGTCTGGCAAACTCAATTTGTGTAGAGACTGACAGTTAAAAAGTTGCTATTGACAAAAGAGAAAAAGGATTTTGATTATTTTTTTAGCTTTCCTAAATATTTCATGTCATATTTTAAAAATTGAGTTATAGCTACACACTGATACCAGGAAAGATATCTTGATCATGCTACCCTAGACCAGAATACATCTGAATCATTTCAAATGATTTACATCCTCATACTTCTGCCTGAGCAAAATGCACTTAGTAAGAATATGATTGCAGTACTTGTTGAGGTAGTAAAAAAATAAGTAGGTAAGTAAGTGGGCACACTGGCATATGCCTATAATCTCCATTCTCTGGGAAGCTGGGCTAGCAGGATTACAAACTTGAGCCCACTGTGGTCAATTTAGCAACCACTGTCTCAAACATAAAAAAAGTAAAAAGGACTAGATATAGTTTAGAGTGAAGCCTCTGGGTTCAATCTCCAGTAATACAAAAAGAAAAAGTGGTCATTAAATATGATAAAACTCTGAAGTTTACCTTTCTTGTAACCTTGTTCCAAAATGAAAGCCATATTTAAGAAGAATATTTTTCCAAAAATGTCCGATTGATAGGTACTAGATAGATAAATACCCAAGTTATCTGCACTATTATAGCAAGTCTCTAACTTTTCAACAGAATCTCAGACTGAGACCCTACTGGTTGTAAACATGGAAAGGTGATGACTTGGTCTTCCACCTTCTCTATTAGAACTGGCTATGGGAGATAAATTATGTGCTCAAGAACAACAAATAACAAAGAACAGTAAATTATAAAGCATCCTACCACAAACTATGTAAAACGTGTAAATGATAACCTTTAATATTTACCTACAGCCATTATAGGTTTATATAAAAAATTATCCAGGACAACTGTAGCTTTCCAAAGGAATTTATTAGTGGTCATCAGAAAATATAACCTTTTGCACACTGTCATTCAGCATGTTTACACACATAAAAACCTAAAATATTTCATGAAACATATTATGGTTAGCATTGCCAGACTGAACACAGGATGTCCAATTAAATACGAGCTTCAGCTAAATGAGTAATTTTAGTTCAAGTGTACAGTATATATTGCTTGAGACATACTATATTAGAAATATTTCTTATTCATGTGAAATTTACCAATGTGCCCAAAAGTTTTATTTACAGTACTCATAGTCCAAATTACAGTTGATTTTTCAAAGTGCTCTCTACACAAGCTAAACTATTTTATGAGTTATCAATAGGTCTTTGCTCAGCTTCAAAGTTTGCTGTTTAAGTGACTAAGGGTCCTAACTCTTAGAAAGTGAGTGCAGTTTTTACATGAAACCTAGGAAATGGTGTACAAAATGAGAGGAAAAGAAAAAACACACTGAAAAAATTTTAGTAAAGAAACAAGGTGACAATTAGTATTTTATGGTAATAAACATTCTCCTACCAGTAGTTAGTAGACATCAGATATTTAAGTCTTTCAAAACCATTTAAATAAATAATATAATTGGGGAAACAAAACACGGCCTTTAAAAAGTTAACAATAAAATAATGACACAGTATCTAAAATGACAACTCTCCCCAATTACAACAATATACATCAATGACTTACAAACATTAGGGAAAGACAGCATTTCAGTTCTTGTCTAGTTAAATTGAATGGCTCCAGAAATTGTGTAGCTGCAGTATCTTAGTTATAATAATGTTTGGAATAAATACAAAATTTTAAGCTACTTGTATAAATAAGCAATTAATTTACAATTTTAAATGTTAATTTTTGTTTTGTTTTACAGGGGATTGAACCTTTCCATCCTATTTCATTTCTTATCTTGAGATGGGGTCTCACTAAATTGCCCAAGCTGGGCTCAAATTTGCAATCTTTTGGCCTCAGCCTCCAAGAGTTCTAGGATTGCCATTATCACACATAGCTTTAAAATCTATTTTTAAAATTTTGAATTAACAGTTGGGCATGGTGACTCACACATGTAATCCCAGCACTAGGGAGGCTGAGGAAATGAGATAGCAGAGTAGGGCACTGCTATGGTTTGTGTCTAGATGTCCCCCTAAGTCTCAAGCAGTCATAGTTGGGCTTTTTCAGAAGTAGCTAAATTTAGAGTGTGTGACTGACTAAAGCACAATGCTAGGATTAAGTGTGGGTAATTACTAAATCAGCCCATTGATTGGTTTGGCACCACCCTCATCCCAGTAACCTGGATGTAATACAAGGTACAGAAATAAGCTTATCTTCCCCCTTATTACTGTGTTATCTTCTGTCTAGCAGGAATTGTTTCTCCTCTCCAATTCCTGCCATGCCACCCTGTCTTGCAGTCAGCTATTATGGACTAAAACCCCTATAAACTGTAAGCTAAACTTTTCCTCCGTTAGCTTGTGGGTATTGGGTATTTTGTCTCAGCAACAGAAGAGTAACTAAGACAGGTGTGGCAAAGTTGCCTGGAGAAGTAGGCTTATTTGTTAATTACAAGATCCTAGACACATGCACAGAAAAGTTCCCAAGCCTTTCAAGTGGTCTTCTTCTGAAAACTCAAGCAGGTTTTCAACAGGACAGCCAAGACCTTACTGTGAGATATGGGATAACAGCATCATTTCTGAACACCCATATGAAGTTCATGCAGGTTTCCTTAAGATTTGAACAGTTTAAAAGGACACAGATTTCCAGATCTTGCTAAATGGCTTTCCTAATGGCAGCCCACCCTGCTTTCTCCAGGGGGTCCTTTTATTGCTTTTTCTCCCTTTATTTAGCCCAAGCTTATTCTGCAGTGCCACTTTCTTCCTCATTCTTCACTTTTCTTTTTTGTTGTGCTTTTTTTTTGGTACCGGAGATCAAACTCACAACCTCGGCTTGTCAGGCATGCACTTATACCACTGAGGCAAATGCTCGGCCCCACTTTTACTTTCTTGAATAAACTTTTCTGGCTCACTTTAACCAGTTTTTTCTTGAAGACAAGAAGAACCTGGAATCTAACTCTGGCAGGAAAGCCAAGTAACCCAGAATCAGGTAACGTTTAGCTGGTGAGCCACTTTTAGAAGCAGGCCACCCTAACAGAAGGAGGATCACCTTGAGTTCAAGTCTAGTCTGGGCTACATAGCGAGTTCAAGGATAGCCTGAACTATATACAGTGAGATGGTGTCCCAAAAGACTAAAAAACAAAACAAACAAAAAGATGTCTGAATTAGAATTCAAAAATAACAATTATCTGAATTGGCCTATATAAAGGTAAAATTAAACTAAAAATTGGAAGCAATACACATCCATACATTAGCAGTACTAGAACACCATCAGAAATAACACATTGCTCCAGGCATGGTGGCATATCCCTGTAATTTAGCACTTGGGAGACTGAGGCAGGAGGACTGCTGAGAGCTAAAGACCAATTTGGGGCTACAAATGAGTTCAAGGCCAGCCTGAACTGCAGGGCAAAACCCTGTCTCAAAAAAAAAAGAAACAAAGAGGAAAAAAAAGACAGTATTGACATACCTTTGGAAGTTCTTCAATCTGATTAGCATCTAAATAAAGTTCCTCCAAAGTTTTTTCAAAAGTAAAAATCTCTTTAGGAACCTGTTCCAAACTGCAATGAGAATAATCCAAAGTAGTAACAGTCTCTTCTTCCCCTCGTAGACAGCGACAAGGTACCAACCGCACAAACAAACTTCGTTTTGTAGTCATTTTTAAATACTGAAATATTCAAAAAAATTTAATTAAAACATATATATTGATTTTTCAAAACTCTTCCAATTTATTTATCCCAATTCACATTCCAACGATAAACATCTCTCCTCTATTACACACACCCAATGGAATCCATGTAACATCCCTTTAGCATCTACATTTTTTTATCTCATGGATTTCATAGTAAACTCATAGTACTTTTGTACTTTATAAAACAATCTGTGAGATAACTATTTATATGCTTCTACAGAAACTTGTTTTGTTTTGAGACAGGGTCTTGCTATATAGTTCAGGCTGCTTCACCTGCTTAGTGCTCGGATCACAGATGTGCACCACACCAAGCTTAGCCTGTCTCATATGTCTGCCTCTTAGTTTTCAAAAATACTCTAATACAACAAAGATTTTTCTTTAATTTTTGGCTCTAGAGTTCCTCAAATCTATTAAAATACCAAACGGTTTTTACTACAAAGTTTTTTGGAATTTTCAAAACAAAATGTGTGTGTAATGAGGCAGTCTATAATCCTAGCACCCTGGGAGACTAATGCTCTAAGTTACAAGCCCAGCCCAGGCAATTTAGTGCCTATTACAGCCTATATCTAGATGTCCTCACAAAGCCTTGTGTACTCATTGGTGGGGCTTTTCAAAACTGGCTGGATCAAGGGTGCATGAATACAGATTAAGGGATGCCTGATAATTGGATTAGTCTACTGATTAGACTGGCATAGTTTCTGTATGTGGTTGATCAGATTTACTGAAGGTGGAGCTGCATCCTGGTATGGGAGGTATAGACGGGTGGGCCTGCAACCTGGGTGGAATATAAAGGGAGACAGGAAAGCCAGGGTCAATGCTGCTTTACTGCCTGCCCTGCCATGAACTGAACTATTTGTTTCTCCTCTGCCACACCCTTCTGTCATGCAGCACTGCTTTGGAGCCAAGTGACAGTGGACCAAATCTCCTACAAACTGAGCTACAATAGATTGTTCTTCCTTTAACTTTAGGGTGTCGGATATTTTGCTCCAGCAATGAAAATTTAAGACACACAGCAACCAACCAAAACTCTGTTTTAAAATTTTAAAAAAGATCTCAGTAAGAAAATCTTGCATTTAATCCCTAGTACCACATGAAATAAACCAAGACCCCATTTAGGGCTGGGAGTGTAGTTCAGTAGTAGAGTACTTGCCTACTATGTGTGAGGCCTGTTTATGAATGAGGGAGAGGAAGTCTTCTTCTAAAATCTTTGTCAACAAATAAAACATCCAAGTAAGATTACTGAATAATTATTAACAATGTGCATTTACATAAAGGTATATCCTACCAACAAGAATAAATAATCTAATAAGCACAAAGAATTAACTGCTAAAGGGGAACTTAGCTTATTCTGTGGATTTATGAGATCATTTCTTAAATTCTACAAAAAAATAAAAAATTCTTTGTTCTACATATTCAGCTAAGAGTATATTTTAAAAATGATACAAAACAATTCTATTTGTTCCGTCATAAAAGGTGGCCCCTAGACACTTGTGGCTATTTAAACTTAATGTAAAAGCTAAACTAAATAAAAATCAAATGTAATTTCTTAGTTACATCACCTATATTTTTAAATGCTCAATAGCCACATATAGCAAGTGGTTACCCCAATTGACTAAACAGATACAAAACACTTCCATCAGTGCAGAAAGTTCTATTATGTGGTGCTGGTTCAGTGTCTCCAACTATGATTCTGGCACATCATATCTTAACTACTATATATTTACACCTGATTTTTAAAAACATTTCCCAGAAATGATTCTGAACTTGGGAATATAATGCCTAAAAATAAAAGACATACTGTTATTGCCAAATAAATGTAACTAAAAAGTTATATATTTAAGTTGTGATACAGAAAACAAGGAATAAAGCAACTTATAGGGTAAAATACTTGTTAAAATGAAAATAACCAACTAAGAAAATCTTAGATACCAATGGATCCACTGCTGAATTCTACAAAAACTTCAGGAAATACTAAACACCAATGCTCCTTAAATCCTTTAATGAGACAGAGAAGAGTACATTATGAATCATCCCTGGAAGACAGCATTATCCTCATTCCAAAACCAGACAAGGATATAATGAAAAATAAAAAAAAAAAAAAAAAGATGTAATAAACTGTCATGGTTTATGTTTGTGTTCCCCAGGCCTCATGAGTTTGCACTGTTCCTTCGTGATGGTTCATTATATAGTGCTTGGATTGACGGTGTCAGTGCTCCACCCACATAGGGGTGGAGCCAGGATATGATGTAATGGCAGGAAGAAGGTGTGTCTTTCTCTTTGCTGGTTCGAGTTTGCTGTGGGCAGCCGCCATGCCTGCCTGTCTTGGAGCCAACTGAGTGTGGACTGAAACCTCCAAAAACTGTAAGAAATAAACCTTTCCTTTCCCAACTTTGGGCTTCAGGTATTTTGTCTCAGCGATGAGCATAAAGTATCTAAGACAGAAATTTGGTACCGAGAGTGGGGTCGTTTGCTGTGACTATACCTGGCCATGTTTTTCAAGAGGTTTTGGAAATGGCTTATGGGTGGAGTTTGGAAAGGTTTGGACATGTCACCTAGATGCACAGAGCTGGAGCAGCTTAGGCTGTTCTGTAGAGGAAATTCTGGTCAGAGCTCAGGAGACCAAAAAGCTGACAGAAAGCCTGATGGTAAAGACCAGGCTTGGGAGGTTTCTGCTGGGAAGGACTGCATTGGTCATTGGACTCCACAAGATGTGTGTTACGGCTTGGCAGAAAGTTTGTCTGCATTTTGCTCCTGCCCAGAGACTTTGCCTGAGACTGAGACAAAGGGCAATGGACTGATTAATCTTGAAAAAGAAATTAAAAAGCAACCAAATATTGAGGCTGTGGCATGGCTATTGTTGGCGGCTTTTAGCCAGCTATATGTTTCAAATCAAGAGCAAAGAGTCTGGCAGGATAATTTACAATGCCGGTGAGTTTGGCCAGAAGGAAAATTCCAGGAAGGCTGTGGATTGTAAAGACAGAGTTGAGATTTTGATTCCTGAGGAGAAACAGAGAGATAAGAAAGATGGCCCTGGGGCATCCCAGGAAGCAGGTCCCCACCCTGTGCAGCCTCACAACAAAGGTGAAAATATTTACTCAGAGGGAAAAGCTGCCCCATGTGGGAGGCCAAGTGAGGTTCCAGAATGGCGGCAACACAGAGAAGCTTTTCATCACAATCAGGTAAACAGAGCCCTGCGATCCAGGCAACTGACCCCTACAGCCAAGAGAGAGAAAAGCCTGGCTACTGCTTCAGCTAGCAGCAAACCTTGGCGGCATCCACAAGGTGCTGATTTTAGGTGCAAGGAAAATGCACAAATTCTGAGGGTAAGACGGCTTCCACCTAGATTGCAAAGGACCTGGGAGGCCAAGCAGTGTGCCCCTGAGAGGGCAATTTGTGAAGATGTAAGGGTGAAGCCGAAGGTGCTGTGGAGACCCCAGAAGTTTGGAAAAGCCAGGAATGTGGATGATCCAAGGGAAGCTGCAAAAAGCGAGCAGAGAAGATTTAAGAGAAAAGCTGCGGGAGTTGAAATCTCTGGAAGTGTCCTGGGGGTGAAAGCACCCAAGGCTTTTGGAGCTTGCAACCAGATTGCTTCAGATGCTGAGCTTGGAACTCTAGGACTTAATGTTCATCCTGCTGGATGTTGGACTTGCTTTGATTCCAATGCTTTATATTCCCCTGTTTGTAACTTTTGGAATGGTAATGTTTATCTTGTGCCTTTGCATTTCAGAAATGTTTAACCTTGTTTCTTTTGTACAGGGGCTTACAGTTAAAGAGTTCGCCATAGATCTTGGAGGAGACTTGGGACTTAGACTTTTCAGCAATGTTGAAGCTGTTAGGACTCTGGCAACTCTTGGAGGTGGACTAAATGTCTTTTGTATAAAGGATGTACATGAGTCCTGGGGGCTAGGGGTGGAATGTCATGGTTTATGTTTGTGTCCCCCAGGCCTCATGAGTTTGCATTGTTCATTCGTGATGGTTCATTGTATAGTGCTTGGATTGATGGTGTCAGTGCTCCACCCACATAGGGGTGGAACCAGGATGTGATGTAATGGCAGGAAGAAGGTGTGTCTTTCTCTTTGCTGGTTCGAGTTTGCTGTGGGCAGCCGCCATGAACTGCAGCCCAGCCATGCCTGCCTGTCTTGGAGCCAACTGAGTGTGGACTGAAACCTCCAAAAACTATAAGAAATAAACCTTTCCTTTCCCAACTTTAGGCCTCAGGTATTTTGTCTCAGCGACGAGCATAAAGTAACTAAGACATAAACTTAGATGAAAAAAATCTTCAAAAAGATACTGACAAGTGGAATGTAACAAATCATCAAAAAGATGATACACTGTGACCAACTAAGCTTCATCCCAGGGATGCAAGGATGATTCACATACAAAAATCAATAAATGCAATAAATCATATGAAGAGAAACAAGAACAAAAATCACATGACCATCTCAACAACCACAGTAAAAGCCTTTCACAAAGTCAAACATCCTTTCATGATAAAAGTACAGACCTTGTATCAACCTGATAAAATTATGACAAACCTGACAACATCATGTTAATGGGCGAAAAAAATGAAAGTTTTCCCTTTAAAATCAAGAACAAGACAAGAATGATCACTGTAACCACTCTTGTTTAACACAGTTTTTAAAATTATTAGCAAAAGAAATGAGGCAAAAGACAGAAATAAAAAAGGTATGTATAAGGAAGAGAGTAAGTTATCATTATTGACAGATGACAAGATCCTCTACACAGAAGGTCCAAAATATTCCATCAGACTGTTAGAATTAAATATCAAAGTCAATAATGTAGCACAATACAAAATCAAAACATAAAAGTCAACAGTATTCTATACACCAAAAAATAACCTGAGAAAAAAATTACCTGAGAAAAAATACTATTTATAATAGCACTAAGAAACATTACTTAGGAATTAACCTAAGGAAGTGAAAGACCTCTACAAGAACTACAGTCCTCTAAAAAAGGAAATCAAAGAGGACATTGGAAAATAGAAAAATATCTCCTGTTCCTGAATGGGAAGAACCAATGTTGTCAAAATGAACATACTTTCAAAATTGATACACGGATTTAACACAATCCCAATCAATCCCTCCAGGATTCGACATAGACATGAGAGAAAATCCTAAAATTTATGTGGAACCAGTAGATACCTGGAATAGCAAATACACTTCTAGTTAAGCATGGTGGCACAGCCTGTAATCTCAGCACTCAGGAGGCTGAAGCAGGAGGATCACTTTGAGTTCAAGGCCAGCTTGGGCTACACAGTGAGTTCTATGCGAGGCTGAACTACATAGTGAGACCCTGTCACAAAAAACAAAAGCAATCCTGGGTAGCATAAACAAGATCGGAGTTGTTATAATCCTGAACTTCAAGTTATATTATACAAAGTTACAGTGAAAAAAACCAGCACTGAGCAAAAACAGACATGAGGATTAATGGAACGATTAGAATAGAGGATGCAAATTCAATTATTTGATCTGTGACAAAGAGGCCAAAAACATACATTAGAGGAAAGATAATAGGTAAAATTCTTAAAGTCATAAGCATAGGCAAAGACTTTCTGAACACAACCACAGTTGCATAGGAAATAGTAGAGAACTGACATATGGGATCATATTAAATTAAAAAGCTTCTGCACAACAAAAGAACAAGCAACAGAGTGAAAAGACAACCTACAGAATACAAAAAAGATTATACCAGCTATTCCTCTATCTAAGGCACATAAAGAATTCAAAAAACATACCTCCTTCCAATAAAAGGCCCAATTAAAAAATGGGAAAGTAAAATGAATAGACACTTCACAGAAGAAAAAGTCAACAAATGCCAATAAATACATGAAATGTTCTACATCATTGGCCATAAGAGAAATGTAAATTCACTTGTGAGATTCCATTGTACCCCAGAAAAAATGACCATCACCAAGAAATCAAATAATAACAAATGCTGGCAAGGCTGCAGGGGAAAAAAGGAACCCTTCCTTCTATACTGTTGGTGGTAATGTAAACTAGTAAAAACACTACAGAAATCAGCATGGAAATTTCTCAAAAAACCTAAAACTAGAAATTCCATTTAACCTAGCTATTTCCCACTTCTATGAATCTTCCCAAAAGAATTAAAGACAATATATTATACTGATACATGTAACACTCATGTTTAGAACAGCTAAAGATGGTATTTACACACAGTAGAGTACAACTCTGCCAAAAAAAGATAAATGAGTCATCTGTAGGAAAATGAACGCACCTTGAGAATGTGATCTTAAATGAAATAAATCAGACACACAGGTTTAAATATCACATGGTTTTTCACATAGGAGAAACCCAAATTATAGATGAAAAGCAAAATAAAAGCAGGACGTGGCGTTGCACAATTATAACTCCAGAACTCAGAAAGCTGAGGCAAGAGGATCGTTGCAAGTTCGACACCAACCTAGGGTTCAAAGTGAGCCCAAGGCTAGCCTGAACGCATATGAGACCCTGTCTCAAAAAACAAAACAAAACAAAAAAAAAAATAAAGATGTGTTATGTTCAAGTACTAACGCCACAGAATGAATGTAAACATTATGTACTACAAATATGTAGTAATAAAAAAAAGCAGAAAACTTTCTAACAAAGGAAATTAAGGCTACTTACCACTGGGTTGAATTTATCTCCCTGATGCTTCTTAATTGGGTCAACATGCTATAGAAAGCAAAAGAGAACTAAAATTAATAAAAAATGGATTTTTATAATCTAAGGAAATCTTTAATTCTTATTTTACGTCAAATGCTAAAATGAAATTCTTAAAAATTGAGCACCACAAACTAAAAAATAAGTCACCCATAAACAGTCAAACCATAATGCTCACTTCTTAAAAATATACAGGAACACAGACTCACATGTATTTGTAATATCTACCTAAATGCACTGTCTTCTTTAATATACCTGTAAACTATTGAGAGCTTTTACCAAGAAACAAATATTTTTCATTTTACTGAAAAATAATACAATTTTTCCAAGGGAAAAACTCTAACCATCAATTACATGTAAATTTAGTAGCTTCTAATCAGTCTTTGGGACAAGCACTGTTAAATACTTATTAGGTTTATTTCCAATTTTAAGAACTTCTACATGGTGTAATAACACAAGCCTCGTTAAATGCCTAGTTTGGAGCTTTCTAGGCCAGGACGGGGAGACAAGGGAGAGGCAATGCAGGTCTGCTTAGGAGACAGAAAGCAGCAGGGCTGGGAAGACATTTACTTTCTTGATAAATAGGATCAAATGGGTTGGGCATGGTAGTTCAACACCTCTAATCCCAGTGCTTGGGGGGCTGAGGAAAGAGTATCACTGAGAGTTTGAGGTCAGCCTGGGCTGAGTTCAAGGCCAACCTGGATTGCAAAGTGAACTCTGCCTCAAAAAGACAAGATGATAGTAATAATAGCAATAATAATAATTAAACAAACAAATGGGTCTGAAACTAAAAATCTTCCATTTTTCTAGCCTCGAATCTACAAACAATGCCTACTAAACAACCATCCTATAACCGTAAGTCAACAAGAATGAAGAGTAAGTCTGCCAATAAATACGGCTGACAGAATTAAACAACCAAGTGAGCAAGCAGTCTCCCAACACTGCTGAGTAGCTAACCTAATCCTAATCCTTTCCTATTTTTCAACTTCTTGGTGCTGCAAGTATAAACCACTATTAAGACTCTGTATCTGCAGCCAATGCATTTGAAAGTGAGACAGCCTAACATGTGAACCAACGACCTTAGTAAGTAATGTGTATGTGTGTTTTCTGTGCTAAATGGTTAGTTATTAACCTTCTCAAAAATTCAACATACATTACACATTACACACACATGAAAAAAGAAAAACCTTTTGTGTATGGCAGGCAAAGATTGTATGTCTTTTTCCTTTAATTTGTTCCCACAGAAAATGGAACTTCTAGAAGGTTGTGCAGATAAATGCAATAAAATTTTTGCATTTACAACTTTAGTTTGAAATACCTAAAAGATACCTGCCTGAGTGAATCCTTAATAGATGTATATGGAAATTTAGAAATATGGAAGATCCAAGTCCAAGCTGAAGATACAAATTTCAAACTCATGTGCTTATAATATTTAAAACAATAAAACACACATAAAATTGTTAGGGGTCTGAGGGTAGACAAAAAGAACAGGTCCACCAAAGACATAAAATTAGGTTTCAGCAAAAAGATACCGGACTAACAAAGGGCACTGAAGAAAAGCAGTCAAATGAGGTAAGAGAAACACATGCATGCACACACACAAAACTGTCACATCCTAAAAATCAAATGAAATGTTTCAAGGTGTTAACAAAAGTTGCTAATAAAGACTTAGAATTGCTACTGTGTGTTAATGTAAAGATCATTAATAGCTTGCCAAGACTTTTTAAAACTTTATTGTTACATTTTAGATATACATGACAACATTCATCACAGGGAATTTGTATCTGTAAGTGCTATATCTTGCTGTTTCTTTTATTCCCATTCCCTTCCCCGTCCTTCAAACCCTTCCATCTTCTTAACAACAACAAAAGCTTTATTTCCATTTTTTTCTTTTTTTGACTCTTCTTTCCTTATTCCCTTCCCCCTGCCTATTCCCCTTCTCACATGAATATTTTCCTCCCATTTCCCAGTATCTACTATACATTTTGTTCTTTATTTACACTTTTGGTTTCTCACACCAGAGAAACAATATGGTATTTAAACATGTGAGTATGGTCTCAAAGTGCACCCATTTCCTAGAAATGTCTCAAGTTTATCTTTCTTTATGGCAGAGCAGTACTCCACTGTATATAAAAACCACATCTTCTTTATCCACTGATGGGCATTTCGGCCGTTTCTGAGATTTGGCTATTACAAACTGTGTTGTTAGAAACATGGGTGTGCATATACACTGTGGTATCTTTTTAGGGGATACATCAAGTAGGATTTTGGGGGAACATCAAGTAGAATAATACCTGGGCCAAATGGGACTTCTCATCCTACTTTTTTGAAGCATCTGCCTACTGATTTCTATAGTGCTTGTACCAGTCCATACTCCCGCCAGCAATGGAGATGAGTTGCTTTTTCCTACAACCCCACCAGCATTTGCTTTTTGCTGAATAATAACCATTTTTTCTCGAGGCAAGATAGAATTTCAGTGTTGTTTTAACTTGCATTTCTTAAATGATCAGTGCTACTATATATTTTTTTCGTGTATTAATTTGCCATTTCTACTTCTTCATCTGAGAAGTGTCTATCCATTTCAGATGCCCATTTTGGACTTGGGACTTTAAATCTAGTGAGGTCTTATTTTTTTAAGTTTTTTATATATTCTAGGTATCAGTCTGAACAACTGACAAAAATTTTTTCTCATTCTGTGAGTTGGACAAGACTACTGAAGGGGATTTAAAGAGGAGGCTGAGGACCTAGCCCAGAGGTAAAGAGCCTGGAGATAAGGAGAAGGGTAGATAAGAGAAGCAGAAAGGAAGAGAAGAGTGAAGGGCGGGGAGGGCTGTGGTGGCGTTGGCCAGGGCTGAGGGCAGGAAAGAAGTGAGGGCAGGGGAATGGGAGAAGGGAGAAGGGCCAGGGTTAGGGTTGAGGGAAGGGAAGAGGAAAGAGGGAAGAGGGAGAGAAATGAGTGGTTCCAAGAGCTTGTTTTATTTTTGGTGGGAGTAGACTAACAAGAACATAAAGAATTTTTCAAAAATTTAATGGCATAAAACAGCCAACAGGAATAAGAATTGTAGTTTCACAGCTCAGATAAAAAGAATTTTTAAAGTTAAAAATTACTAAGTTTAGATAAACAATGTGTTTTATAATATGAGTGACTTTCAATTACAAAATTTGCTCATGAAATAGAAAGGCATGTCAGACATGGAGGTGCACACATGTAATCCCAGTGCTGTCAGGTGGAGGCTGAGGCAGAAGGATCACTGCATGTTCAAAAAGACCAGCTTGGGCTACATAATGAGGTTGAGGCCAACCTTAACTACTTAGCAAGACACTGTCAAGTTTTTAAAAAAACCACCACCCAAAGAAACAGAAAACCATGTATGAAATCATGGATAAAGTGTGTCAAAATTATTCCTTAAGCTCCTTGACATTATAGTGTTAAGTTAAATAAACCAGAAACACAAGCCTAAGTATTGCATGGTTTCTCCTATATGAGAAACCAAAATTATAAATAAACAAATATAAAAGACAGACAATAGGAAACACATCTTTTGCAAATGGGAAGGGGACCAAGAGACAAAAGGAGGGAAAGAAAGCAGATGAGAAAAGAATTAAGATGTGTTGTGTGCACATGTTCCAACTCAAGAGGCATATAAACATTGTGTACTGAAAATATGATTAATAGAAGTTAAAAAAATTATTCCTTAAAAGACATTATGCATCTATTTATAAACTTTCTAAAAATGGAATCTGACAAGGTTCAAGACTCACAAGAAAGAAAATATCCCAATTCATATCACAAACTCAATATAACTAATATCAGTATCTCAATATTATCATTCAAGAATTCTTTTAAAATTTTTAATTAGAGCTGGACCCAGTAGTGTGACCAGTCATCTCAGCTCTTCAGGCAGTAATATAGTATTACAAAGGCCAAGATTAATAAAGCTATTAGTAACACATCACACAAATAAATATAAAAAGGGAAGCAAAATCTTTTCAAAAAACACCAGTCAACAACCATTCGTGATAGAAAATCTTATTAAATCAGATACAGAAAAGGTATTTCCTCAATTAAGACACTATCAGTGTCATATTCAAATACAAAACACACTAAGCACATTATCATTAAAACTAAAAAGATTATTAGCACTACAGAAAGTTGAAAAAACCCACAGAATGAAAGAAATACTTCCATGTACCTGATAATTGACTTGTATGCAGAAAACATTGATAGCTCTCACAATTCAACAACAAGAAAGCAAAGGACAAACCCAAATACAGGCAAAAGGATTTGCATAGGCATTTCTCCAAAGATAAAACAAAAGCCCCAAAACACATTAATATAGTAACATCACTAGTCATTTGAGAAATACAAACCAAAACTATCATTCATACTGACTTAGGATGGCTATAATCAAATTGGGCAATAATAAGTTTCAGTATCATAGACGATATAGATATATGAGAACTCAGGTTAGAGAAGGAACTCAGTGGTAGAGCGCTTGCTTTAGTGTGCCTAAGACACTAGGTTCAATCCCCAGAGTACTGAAAAAAAAATTATATACTGATGATGTAGAAACTCTCATACACTGAAGATGGGGATGGAAAATGGTACAGCCACTATGAAAAATGCATTGCAGTTCCATAAAACTAAAGTTTCCCTACAACTCAACAATTTCACTCCTAAGTATACAACCAAAAAGACTGAAGGCATTCTCTGAAAAAACCTGAACCTAATATTCAATATTATTCCCAAAACGAACACTGAACAAACTATTGCAACACCCAAAGGTACATCAACTAATAAAATGACAAAAATGGTGTATTTTCATACAACATTCCATAATGGTGGAATATTATTCAATTATATAAAAGGATAAAGTATTGACCTACTATACCATGGATAAACATTAGAAACTTACAGCCAGGTGAGATGATGTATGCCTGTTATCCCAGCACTTTGGGAGGTTGAGGCAGGAGGATCACAAGTTTATGCCCAGTTTACTGGACTTACTAAG